GCAACAGATCGCAACCCTCAGTGTTGCGCCCGTACCGGACCGGGACCGGCAACAGGATCACAACCCTCGGTGTTGCGCCCGCACCTCGCTCAGCCAGTGAGTGGCCGGTCTGTATGTGGGATCTGAACCCTCGGCGGGAGCGCCGCCACACTCCCAAGTGGCGCACTGTAGCAGTGCGCCACCGGGCCGGCCCATCTCATCTTCCACCTCCCTCACTGCCCCTTGGCTATGTGAAGACAGAGAAAGTAGGCAGGTGTCTACAAGCCAGAAAAGGAGTCCTCACCAGAAACTGAATTGGTCATCACCTTGATTTTACATTTCTCGGCCTCCAGAACTGCGAGAAATACATTTCTGTTGTTTAAGCCACCTACTCAGGGTTATTTTGCTATAGTAGCTTGAGCAGACTAAGACAGATTTTGGTACCAAAAAGTGAAATGCTGCTTTAATACCTAAAAAATGTAGAAGTGGCTTTGGAACTGGGTAATGGGGAGAGTCTGGAAGAGTTTTGAGGTATGTGATAGAAAAATCCTAGATTGCTGCAAAGGAACTATTGGCAGAAATGTGGATGTTAAGGGTGATTCGGCACAGACTAAAAAAGAAGAGAGGAGGGTTGGAGAGAAAGACCCCTACTCTTAGAAAACACATAATCATGAAAAGAATGTTGGTAGATATGTGGACATTAAAGGCCATTCTGATGAGGTCTCACAGGAAAATGAGAACAGGTTATTGGAAACTGGAGGAAAGGTGATACTTGTTATAAAGTGGCAAAGAACTTGGCTGATTATATTCGAGTGTTTCATGCAAGATAGAATTTGAATAATACAACTGGATATTTAACTGAAGAGATTTCTAAGCAAAATGTCAAGGTACAACCTGTCTCCTCCAGACTGCTTATAGTAAAATGAAAGAGAAAAGAGATGAATTGAAGATGACATTATTAAGCAAAAAGGAAACTGAACTTTAATATTTAGAAAATTCTTAGCCTGTCCATGTTGCAGAAAATGAGAAAGTATGTTCTAAAGAGAACACCAAGGGTATGGCTGGACCAAGAGTATGGATTTTATACTTTAGAGTTGATGCTCGAATGAGTTAAGATCTTTGAAGCTGTTGGAATGAAATTGATATATTTTACATTCCATAAGAACATGAATTCCATAAAGAGATTATGGAATCATACAAGCAGAAATACTGCCTATTTGAACTGAAGGGGATGGAGATGGGACACAATGAAGGAAGGCTTTCAGACTTATGGATTCTACTGGACAGGACAGTAGAGTTATTCAGCTGTGAACTTGCACTATTCTTTAAGAAAAGGGAAGAATGACCCCAAAGGCCATTCAGATGTTATCAGAGCTACCACCTGGCAGAACCTTTGGGATGGGACTCTTGCCCGGCAGAGCTTCAGGAGCACAACACCCACCTTGGGTCCAGAAGGCAGGGCCACCACCCCAGTAAGTCTGAAAAGCAGGTCATTGAATCAAAATTGATTATTCTTGAGACTTAAGATCTAATGGAATTTGTCTTGCTAGATTTTGGACTTGCTTGGAACTTGTCATCTCTTCCTCCTTTTCTACTTCTCCTTTTTGGAATGGATATTTTTATCCTATTCCTGTTACACCATTGTATCTTGGAAGCAAATGACTTTGTCTAGTTTCACAGGTTCACAGGTGAAGAGAAATTTCATCTTAGCATGAATCATTCCTCAAGTCTCACTCATATCTGATTTAGATAATATTTAGATGAGACTTTGGATTTTATACTTTAGAGTTGATGCTGGAATGAGTTAAGATCTTTGAAGCTGTTGGAATGAAATTAATATATTTTACATTCCATAAGAACATGAATCTGGGGGGCTAGGGGAAGAATCCAATGGACTGAATTGTGTCACCCCCCAAAAAATTATATGTTGAAGCCCTAACCCCCAACATCACTATATTTGGAGATAGGGCCTGTAAGGAGGTAATTAAGATTAAATGAGGTCATAAAGGTATGTCTCGGATCCAATAGGATTAATGTCCTCTTAAGAAGAGACACCAGAGAACTAGAATGTTCTTTCTGCCATGTAAGGACACATGTAGGGCTGCCAAGATAGAGCCATCAATTAGCCAGAAAGAGAGCCTTCATCAAAACCAAAATTAGCCAGCATCTTGATCTTAGACTTCCCAGCCTCCAGAACTGTCAGAAACAAATTTCTGTTGTTTAGGCCACCCAGTCTGTAGTATTTTGTTATAGCAGCCTTAGCAGACTGAGACAGCATTCAAAGGATTCATAGTTATGACACCAAAAGCACAAGCAACAAAAGAAAAAAATAGATAAATTAGACTTCATCTAAATTAAAAACTTTTGTACACCAAAAGACATTATCAAGAAAGTGAAGACAACCTACAGAATGGGAGAAAGTACAGTATTATTATATATCCAATAAGGTCTAGTATTAGAACACATAACCACTTCTAACCTAACAACAAGAAGACAAACAACTCTACTTAAAAATTGGCAAAAGGGGTCAGCCTGTGGCTCACTTGGGAGAGTGCAGTGCTGATAACACCAAGGCCAAGTGTTTGGATCCTATATAAGGATGGCTGGTTTGCTCACTGGCTGAGTGTGGTGCTGACAACACCAAGCCAAAGGTTAAGATCCCCTTATCAGTTATATTTAAAAAAAAAAAAAATTGGCAAAGGAGTTGAATAGAGTTCTCTGAAGAAGATGATCAAGAAGGACATGAAAAGATGCTCAGTATCACTAGCCATTAGGATATGCAAATCAAAACCACAATGAAATACCATTTCACACCCATTGGGATAGGTATATTGACCTAAAAAGGAAACTGAGGCCAATACATATAAGCAATGATTTGTTGAGCCAACATGACAATTGCAACCGGGGATATACATAGTCAAGTCACCCTGAGAAATGTGTTCCGAAGAGGGCCAGCAGAGCTTAGAATTTTATAATCACAAGAAGGCAGAAGGGTCAAAGGAGAGAGAGAAGGATTGCTTCACCTCATTACTTTATCAGGTTTTCTAGTGGTTGTACATAACACATAGATTTAGGATTGTTAGTAGGTTACATCCAACACGCAAGGATCTAGGGTAAGGGTAATAGAATCATTTTAGGTGATTTTATGGCTTTCTGGTGTCATTAAATCTGTTTAAGTAAAAAAGCCTTATGATAACTTTTTCCAGGACAGGTGATTACTGACTTATTCCAGATTTTCCAAGGCACTATAATTTCGCTGACTTGGTCAAAGCAGATTCTTCTGATTATCAGATATTATCAAAAGTGGGCCGGCCCGGTGGCGCACTGGATAAGTGCGCTGCTTGGGAAGTGCGGCGGCGCTCCCGCCGAGGGTTCGGATCCCACATGCAGACCGGCCGCTCACTGGCTGAGCGAGGAGCGGGGGCAACACCGAGGGTTGTAATCCCGTTGCCGGTCCCGGTCCGGTACGGGCGCGATACTGAGGGTTGCGATCTGTTGCCGGTCACGAAAAAAGACAAAAAGACAAAAAAAAAAGTAAGGAAACTACCAAGTGTTGGTGAAGTTGTGGAGAAATTGGAATCCCCCAACACTGCTGTTGGTATGTAAAATTGTTCAGCTGCTGTGAAAAACACTTTATGGATTCCTCAAATACTTAAACATAGAATAACCATAAGACCCAGAAATTCCACTTCTATCTATATACCCCAAAGAGTAGAAAACAGGGACTCAAATACTCGTACACAAATGTTCATAGCAGCACTACTCACAATAACCCAAAGGTGGAAATAACCCAAATGTCTATCAATGGATGGATGAATAAAATTATGATATCTACACACAACAGATGAGCCATAAAAGGAATGAAGTACTGATACATACTATAAGGTGTACAAAACGTTATGTCATTGAAGAAGACAGATACGAAAAGGTCACATATTCCATTTATTTGAAATATCCGTAATCGGTAAACCCCGCGTCTGAAAGCTGGTTGGTATTTGCCAGGGGCTGGGAGAGGAAAGAATGGGGATTAACTACTTAAGGGGTTCAGGTTTTATTCTAGGTTGGCGAAAATGTTTTGGAACGAGTTACAGTTGGTGGTGGTACATCATTCTGAATGTATTAAACGCACTTTAAAATGGTTCCTCTGACGTTCTGTGAATTTCTCTGCAATTAAGAAAATTTGACTCCTCAACAACCAAATTTGTTTAAAGGTGCAAATTTGCAATTAGACATTACAATGTGTTCTGGTAATGCAGTTTCTGAATTTTTAGAACCCTTCTCTGGGATGATTTTCTAAAACGTTAAATTCACTGACAGTTTAGAAGGCTCTACACACAGGACTAGTAAATGCAGGTAATGGTGTCGCTCCTTTTCCATTTAGACGGGCTGAGCAAAAAGGAAAGCTAATTCCAAGTTTCTTTGACTCGAAATTCAACAGGGTCTCCTACCACGACAAAAAATCGCTACATCCTGCCGCCCGTCGTGCGGACACGGTCACCGGCACTAGGAAGAGGATCCCGGTCACGCCTCGCGCACAGACCAGAGTCTCGGCGGGCCTCGCGGGAATGCGCCCGCGGCTGCACCAGCCCCAGAGCCCGAGCTTCCGGCCGCGGCCCCACCTCTCGGCGCCTCCACTTCCGCCCGCTGTCCCCGCCCCCCGGCCCAGCCGGCCAGTCGGAAGCGCGGCCGCCGGAACAGGCCGTTGGCCGGGCTGTGGAACAGCGGGGGTGAAGGGGCGGGTGGGCGTTGCGGCCCAACCGGCTGCGCGGTCTTGAGGCCCAGCGCGGCTGCTGCCGGCACAGGTGGGCGGAGGCCGTGGGTGGGGCGGGCCCGCGGCAGGCAGGCGGTAGGTTAGGCGCGTGAGATCCGGCCGAGGTCAGAGGTGAGCGGGCCGCTTCCCGGGCGGTTTTCCGGAGCTGGAAGCCCGCGGGAGGAAGACGGTGTCCCCGTACCCGGAGATCCCGCGGGCCTGGCCGGGGGCTGAGCCAGCCACCTTCCCGGCGGACGCCTCCATTGCTTTTCGTGGTGCTGCTAAGCAGCGCTTTTAGTTTTAGTTTGACTTTTGGGTTCCAGTTACAGGTATTTCCGTAAACTCGCAAGAATTTTGCGAAGCGCTTCTTTGGGGGCGGGCTCGTTGGTGTCCATATTGAATAAAGGCTAGTGGCTCCAATTGTGGAGCTGGGGGCGTTTTACGTGGAAAGCCTAAGTTGTTACGAAAGCTCGTGCAGTCTGAAGAAACTCGGTCGATCAGGGACATCAGTGGAATTGATAGCGACATTTAGAATTGGATTAATTACTCATCCTCACCACAGTTCCCTGGCGTTCAGAAATGAACTTGGAGAATAGCTGCCCCTGGAAGCCATCTCTCGTCACCACCGTACAGTGGTCTGAAGGTTATATAATATTAGAAAGAACCTTAGGTTAGAAATTGAGAGAGATCTGAATTCCGGCTTAGGTCTGTAATCTTGGGAAAGTCACTCATTCGGACTGCCTTTTTCTGTAAAATGGAGATTCTGATAGGGATTACAATGGCTTTCTTTCACAGGTTCTAGTACCGTATACAGTGAGAATGTAAGCTTAGTAAGAGATGTAGGAAGTCATTTACTGGTTTTTGTCTGCAGTACTTAAAAATTGTAATTTAAAGTTACTTAACCTCCCTCCTTTAGTGACAAGAAACCTTAATTATAAAGTTATCACATTTTGGCTTTAAGTATGTAGTGTATCTTCATCTTTAGATTCAGTGGTGAAATTTTTCACCTTAATCTAAGCTAAGTTTACACTTCCTGTGAGCTCTTTGAGTGTAGGATTAATTTCTTATTCATTTTTTTAATGATTATTCCTGGAACCCGTATGTGGCCTGTGATGTATTCGGAGCTTAGACCTTTTTTTTTTTCCCCCATTTTTTAAAAACCCGAACTGGCAAAAACTTAAGCTTTAGGTGCATCAAAAAACAAAACAGGACACTTACAGAATATCTTTCTGTCACCAGAAGTTGTGCTTTAGGTCAACTGGGTAGACACGCAGAGATAGTTACAAGGAGTTAAAGAATTAGATTTAAAATAAGATTTATTTGTTAACATTCTCAGGGCAACATTATGTACCATCTCTGCTAGGCAGAGGACACAGGTGTATGCTTCAACACTGGCAGCACCTTTGAATCTCCTGGGGAGCTCCAAAAATGCTGATCCCTGGGCCCTAGTCCAGACCAATTAATTATAATCTCAGGGGAGTGTGGGGCATGGGCATCCCACTATATAAAGCTTCACAGGTTACACTCTTGTGCATCCAGGATGAGAACCCTTGTGTTAGAGGAAAGAGGTCCTTCGGGAACCTAGTTTGAGGAGAGGAAGAGCTGGAGGGGCTGGAGAGGTATCTGGAAAATGTAGCCTGGGGCATTTGGGGCAATATCCTTAGAAGGATTCTTATCTGCAGGCCTGATGAAATCTGTGATTTGTAAAGTGAACTGTATAATGATCAAGGCCAGTGGGCAGGCTATTAGAATAATCCAGAGGAAAAATGGGAGTAGCAAGAGTGATAATAGAGAAGAGATTCAAAAAACATTTATTTTCTCTTCTGGGATGTTAAATATTTTTGAGGAAAGTGAGTAATGACTCTAACTTATAAACTGTATTTTGCCCTACCCAGTTAAAACTACTTTTCAGCAATGAGTCGATAGGTTGTGGTACATGAATTTTACTATTGCAGATTATTAAAAAGTATGTTAGAAATGTGTTTCAAGTAAGTTCCCTTGTTAATTACTAAATCTCATTTCTTTCTTTTGACAGCATTACGTTAACATGGGGGTTTTGTTGTTTTTGCTTTTACAGTACTATAAGATTGATATTAAAGACATGGTTTTCACCCCACTTCATCAACGCACATAAGTTTTCTCTTCTTTTTGGACTTCTATTTCATGCCACAATGGTAAGCTCCAGTTTAGTATGTTTACATTTGTGTTTTAGAATGTTCCCTTCCTTCATCTTCATGAAAATATTTATATCATAGATACAGAAATACTCTTGTAAGCTGCGCAAATTACTCTAACTGGGAAATTACTTAGCAGTCGAAATCTCTATGAAATACATGCTTGGCTGGCCGGTTAGCTCCATTGGATTGAGCGCAGTGTTATAACACCAAGGATCCCCTTACTGGTCAGCTGCCAAAAAAAAAGGCTCATCTCTCAGTTCAGTGGTATATTGTCATATCCAAGTTATACAGATAATCTGTCTGTCCTTATATTTATGATGTATTAAAAATATTTACTTATATCCACTTTGCCATATTCCAAGTCACTGGCAAGGAGGATAGTAATAAATAAAATTTGTTTTGTGGGCACAGGTTTCTTATATTTTAAAGTTCCTTTTCATTTAGATTTTTTTTTAACTTAAAAACAAATGTATCCTGCTTACTGCACATATCTTAAGCGGCATTGATGCTAGGACCTTGAGCCTTCTAATGGCACATTTCTTTTCACTGACTTACAGTCATTAAACATACTTAGGAGTAGCCATTAAAAAATTAAAGAATAAGGGGAAAAAACACTTTTTAATATTTTAAAGAAGAAGCATTTGACAGAATAAATGAATACTCACCACCATGTTGACTAATTCATTCATTCAGATAAACCCCTGTTGTGCAGCATTTATCAGAAAACATTTATCTTTTTTCTCCTCCTTTTGGGATCTTGCCTGTCTACCCCTGCTCTATTAGATAGAAGTGGAACGGTCATAGTGAGGTTCTGACCTTACCTTCCATTTTGCATCTATATTACTTAATCATTTCCCTCTTACATATTTGAAGGAGGTAGTGAATTAAGATGCTTATCTTTACATCTGCAGATATATCTCATTAGACCTTTTGAAGTTTTGATTTCAGAAAATGAAATATTCACTTGAGATAACTGGCTCTTTAAAATTATTTTAGAGTATATATTTGATTGTGTTTATTATAATTTTTTTGATATATACTTACTTTAAGGTTTTATTGGCCAAAATTTAAAAGAAATTTATGTGTCAGGAGTATATGTCCAGAATTGTGTTTTGTGCTGGAAAATGGGTCATATTCAAGAATCTTATCTTGAATCCTAGGAAGCAGTTTTATTGGGAATCTACTCCTTATAAGATTTTTTTAATAAAGAAAATTGGTATAAATTTATTTTAACTGAACCTTTTGAAATAACAAATTTCAGACTTTGTTCACTTACTACATTTAGATATTTAATAATATGGATTTTTGATAGCAGTCTAAAAAGGCCAGCTTCTTTTTAAAATCAAACAAATTCTTCATGCTTAGGAGTAGGTGGCAGAGTCACTTAAAACTCCCTTAATTTCCAAAGGGTGGCGGTATTTGTTGTTCTCCCTACCCTCCTGGGATTTTGGTGGATGCTTAGTTTTTATGACATGCAACTTTGTAGGTGTATTATTGGAATCTGCAGAATAAAACTGAAGAATTTGGGTCCTTATAAATAAAAAATGAAGGCTTTATGCCTCCGAATGGAATTTAAAAATGACTATAATTGTGAATGAAAATACTGTGAGGAAGGTGTAACTTACCTTCTTCATATTTCCCCTCTTACCTTAAAATAAGTGTCTCTAAGAAAGTGGATGAAGGATGGGGATCTACTAGTAGATCTCAAACCTTACATGTAGAAATAATACTGTATTTCATCAATTCTAAGATGCATTTTTCTTTTACATTTTATTACTGAGTTGATGATGAATCTACTACAGTCAGTGACATCTTACAATTATAATTGGCAGCATATTTTTTTCTTAATGTTATCTAAAATAATGATGCATGCTTGTAATTGATGACATCTTAAATTTATTGAAACGTATTAATGTTAGCCATCAATTATTACATTTATACTAGGCACTGAGCTAGAAATGTTTTAGGTTCTTCGCATTAACATATTAGGAATTCCTAAGTTGATTTAGGTACCAGCACAACCCCTCTCCCAATTGTTAGGATTTGAAGTGGATGAGGACAGTTTAGTCTTTGTTTTACTTTGTTTAAATTATGACCAGTATGTTTTCCTAAATGGTGCTTTTAGAATGTTGAAGAAATTCAATTTATAAAGTGCTGATAGCTACCGTATCCAACCCTCCCCTATATCAGCCTCACAAGCACAGACGAGAGACACCATTTTAGCATTTCTTATCTGGTTGTCATAATCAGGTGCCCAACTCTGTCATATTTTTTCTTTGTTGCATATCTTGATGGGGTGGAGGAGAGAAGTAAAAATACATTAGACCTGTTACAGAAAATGAAATACATTTAAACCCGTATTTAGAAATGTTAAATGTATATTAATTATTTTTTGTGAAAATAACTAATAATACCAAATACACTATTTACTTTTTACAGCAGCAAGCTTTAGAACTAGCTTTGGATCGTGCGGAGGTGAGGCGTGACTAAGTTACATATTGAAATAGTGTTGTCTTTAATTGACAAAAACTCAGTTTTAAGAGATTTTTGTATGTGCTTTTCAAAGAAGTACATTAATATTATGTTAGGACAAGTATACAAATAATTTTACTGTAAAAGTGCCAAATGATGTTTGGATCATCTGTTACTTAGACTCCTCAGATAATAATGCTGTGAAATAAAAATTATTTGAACAAGGACATAGAATTTCTAAAATTATGTTTTCCTCTTTTGACATGTTTTCTAATTACTCAATTAATGGGGGAAATAGCTAGAAAAAGAGTCCTTGCAATTAGATACACGATTTTTAATACATTAAGCATATTTTGAACAACCATAAAACATTGAGAATATTTCTGGCCTGTGAAACTATATGATTTTGCTTATGGCAATGAAATACTGTGCTAATATTAGTGCAGTTTAAATTTTACTTGTATGTAACATATATTTAGAAGTAGTTTTTCCTATAAGGTATAATTTAACATAAGTCAGAGATTTGAGTGACAGAACAGCCTTTTTAGCCTTACATATATTTTAGACGTACTTAATACAGTTGTTCATGTGCAGAGTAAAAGACAAGCTATTTTCATAAACTTTTCTTTTTCAGTATGTCATTGAAAGTGCCCGACAGAGACCTCCTAAAAGGAAATACCTATCTAGTGGAAGGTATGTATGAATATTTAATTAACTGATAATTAAATTCATTAAAATATGATGATAGCAGCTGTTGATTGCGTTCCTACTAGGCACTGTGCTAGAAATGTTGTAGGTTCTTTGTATATATTAGGAATTTCTAAGTTGATGTTAGCTACCATATCCAACCCCACCCCACTCCCAATTTTGGGGAAATTGAAGGAAAAATGGAAAAATTTAGGAAAATATTAAAATAACATTTATTTCATGATTATTATAATAACATTATTATGTATATTTGTTTTATTAAATTTTTTTAGAAAATCTGTATTTCAAAAACTTTATGACTTGTATGTTGAAGAATGTGAAAAAGAGCCTGAGGTTAAGGTAAGTATAAATTTTTTATGATATTGTGGCTTTTGAAAGGTAGAGGAAGAGGGATATTTGGGAGAGTTAAATTTGAAGCAGTTAATGATTTATATTTTTGTTAGTGAATTAACACCTTTTCCAATGAGACACCAGTTAGTTCTACCACTGGCCTAAAGCCCTAGCTCATCTGGCACCAGGCAGAGATCACCTGCTGAGGTAGGAATAAGGGAGCAGTTATTTACTGAGTAATAGGACTTACCACTGGGAAGTCATAAGCAAAGCCATAGTATATATTATCTTTTGCTTCTTCTTCCCCCTGAGAAGTAGTTTGTAAACTTAAGGCAGGAGAAAAGTAACCTATTTCCACATGGCAATTTGCACTGTAAAGTTGAAGCTCTTACAGGACTGGTAGGAAATTCAAAAGGTGAATTTGGTTACAAAATGAGTTCATGGTCAGTTTCATTCATTTTTATGTAGCATAAAGGTATGGGCAGTAGAAAGGTAGTAGAAATTGAGTTCTTGATATCTTTTGAACCTTTGAGTTAGAAGGGCTATGAGCTTCTATTGTCTGCCTTTAATTTAAAAATGAATATCATTTTACCATTTAGGCAAAAAATAGTGGAATTTCAGTAGTGTATAATCTTTAAAGTCTTTAAATTAGGGCAAAATATAAATCTTATTTGTTTTACATAACTTGTATTGAGTTATATTTGACATAAAATAAATTGCACATGTTCAAAGTGTACATTTTTTAAAGTTTTGACATATAATGTACATATCTATCATCTCAGAGACAGAACTAAGATATGAGAGGTACATAAAGATTCTAAATTAGGGTTGGCAAGCCACTGTCCACCAGCCAAATCTGACCCACTGCATGTTTTTGTAAATGAATATTTATTGGAACCCGGCCACACCTGTTGGTTTATGTATCCTCAGTGGCTGCTTTCTATGTACAAAGGCAGAGTTGAGTAGTAGTGAACACAGACCATTTGGCCGACAAGCCTAAAATACGATCTAGCTCTTTAAGAGAGAAATTTTCCAACCTCTGGTCTAAATGGGGTCAACTCAGTGGGAGCCAATTTGTTTTCTTAAAGAGGTACACATACTGTCAGAATTTATCTAATTCTGCCTTAAGTCAAATTATGAGAGTTTTCTCCGCAATGGAAAAACTTTAAAATTTTTAGTCACTCTTCACTACTTTTTTTTTTTTTAACACCAAAGTAGTGAAAAGTTGTTTGCCCTTTTTTTTCACTTTTCACATTGCATAGTGTTTTGATTGTATGGTGATGGTAGATCAAAAATTTATAATTCCTCTCTGCATATGGCTGTGTATAGGATATATGATTAATATATATTAATAAAAATATATATTTATATTAAGTATAAAATTATATACTTAATATATATAAGATACTCAAAACGGATTTGGTTTTTTGATATCCTGCAAAAATAAATGTTCTATTGACTCAGATATCTTTCCTGAATAAGATTTGATGAAAGGAACTGTTATATCTATAAATGGGTTTCACTTTAAATCATTTGCATTTCTAAAATCATGGATTTAAATGTATGTGCATTATGTTTTCTGATGAATTTTTTTTAAACAAAGTGGTTTCTAAGGAGCTGCTTTAGTCGAATTTACAGAAAATTGTCTGAATTGCTTACCTCCTCTTACCATTTAGATATTTTTAGATTGAACATTTCAGCCAATTAGAGCTGTTGAACTTGTTTGGATCTAATTTAGGCTATAAAATATTTAAGAAATGTGTACTTGTTGCCATTCAAACAAAGAGAAAGTCCCAAATTCTTCATTTATGTTAGACTTTTACTTAATAGAAATGAATTACACATCACATATGTTTTATACATTTACATTTAATGATTTTATATTTTACTTATTTAAATATTTTTATTTTCTACTTATGTGTTCAAAAGTTCGTATTTTATGTTTAGCTATTTTTATTGTTTTATAGATCGCCAGTTTTTTTATATGAATAAATTTGTATAAAATGCAGGTATAGATCAAAATTAAATTTGCATAGCTGTCCCATACATAGCGGGTATAGTTTTGTGAATTTCTCTCATATATTCAGGATCATAATGTGGAAGGAGCACCAAAAGATTAATTCAGGTCTGATTTCGTTAAATTATAGCATTATTTGTTAAGGTTATGTTGTATTATTTTCATGAGCTCTGCCTCTCTTTAAAGCAGAAATTAAGAAGAAATGTGAACCTATTAGAGAAGCTTGTAATGCAAGAGACTTTGTCATGTTTAGTGGTCAATCTGTACCCAGGAAATGAGGGATATTCTCTGATGCTCAGGGGAAAAAATGGATCAGGTAAGACCCTCCAAAGCCTAGCTGCTACAAAATACCTCTGCCAGACAGATTTGCTGTTTTTTAAAAGTACTGTCTTTTCTTTTTTTCTTCTTTCTATTTTTTGGGGGTGGGGGGGGGGAGCTGGTTGCTAAGGGAATCTGAACCCTTGACATTGGTGGTATTAGCACCACTTGGTGTTATTAGCTCTAACCAAGTAAGCTATCTGGCCAGCCCTAAAAGTAGTTTCTTAACCTGCTAAATGGTTTGTCCTTCAGATCAGTGGTGACTTAGTGATAAAAGCAGGTTTTGATCCCAAATTTTCCTCCTTGTGATATATTTTGTTAGAATATTAGAAATGATCTCTAATATGATTATCCCTCCTGAATATACATTTGGAAAGTATTCTACTTGATATGTGTTTGAAGTCAGGTTATAAAAGACATAACTTTTAAATGATTTTCAAAATTTCCTTTCGTTCTATTGCTGTTTATATTTTAAGATAGCGTAAGTTGTTTTAAGGTATGTTTTCCTTCTGCATTTTGAATGTATTCTGAGTCTGAAACATTCAAAATTAAGTAGACTCACTGCCTTTTGAGTAATTTTTATATATTAAAATATTTGTATTAATGTGAATATGAAAATAAAGTTTTAAAATATAGTCTTAGATTTCACTAAAGAGGCATCTAAAAACTTCGTATGGTGATGATAGTATGAGCTCTACAGGGACTGCAAGGTGTTCCTTGTAGAACTTACCTAGTTAAGAATTTTTTCTTTTGTTGGTAGATAATTGTAAAATGTAACATCAAGAGAATTTTGTTCTAAAAGTGACAGTTTTTCAGATCAGGTATCAAATTAGGTATCTGGTTTCCAGATTAGATTAATCAGTCTTCAACAAACCTTTAGTTACTTTGACATTGGAATTTTATCATATTCTATACTGCTGGCTGTGATTTAGATTGTGATGTTATGTCAGATGTTTTTCCATAATGTACTAGGATTTTTTTCCCCCTTTCTGGTCTGAAATTTTATACAGTTAACAAGACTTCTAGCAAAATGTAATTTGATTCATTTGTAAAACAAATGATAAATAAAGAAGAGAGCTTTTTGTCTCTATTCCCTTTTTTATGAAAAGTCATTTAAATTGTATACTTGGGCTTTTTGTTGAGCCTGATCATCTCCAGAAACTTTATTTTATGTCTTAAAATTAAGATTCTGAGACCATCCGACTGCCTTATGAAGAAGGGGAATTGCTTGAATACTTGGATGCAGAAGAATTACCTCCTATTTTAGTTGATCTCTTAGAAAAATCTCAGGTACAAAATTTTTCTCTATAAAATGTCTTTACATTTGTTATATGTTTATGGTATACCAGCATATCTATTGCATTTATATATGTATATATACATATATGTATATAAATGGCTGTATGGTGTTATTATAAGTGATAATCTTTACCAGTATTCCCAACAGTGTTAGAACATGAAGTGAGACACACATAGCTATATGGAAATTGGTTTATTGTGGGATGTTTAACTTTTAAGCTGTACTGAAATGTATAGATTTAGTCAGTTCTTCTAAAATTGCTATCACATAAGCTCAATTGGAAATCTTCCTCTAGGTACAATCAAGAAATTATGACAGAAACTACTTGGGATATTTCTGAAGTTTTTCACATGGGAACCAGAACTGCCTTACATCTGTACTTCTCTTCATAGCCAGCCTAGTTAAATAGTCCCTTGCTCTACCCTCCTTCCTTCTTACTGCCTTGACTTAACCCCAGCCATACTGAAGAAACAGGAACCATCAGATGGGAACTCCCATTTTCTCCTAGCACCAGTTGACCTGCATCTCTACATTTCTCTCCACACTTCCTGCCTGCCTTCCGGTTAAGATTCCTAAGGCATCCTCTCCACTGATTTTCTGGATTCTCCTCTTCCTTCTCAAGGACTTGGAATCATAACATCTCTCCTAGTTTTTTTTCTCTACTAGATACAGAATACAAGCATATCGTACTATCTCTCAACCTCAGAGAAAACCAGACACCTCCCTTTTCCCCATATCCTTCTCCAACTGCTGCTCTATAATTCTGCTTCTCTTGACAGAAACAACTCAGTTGTCTATAATCATCATCTCCTTTTTTTCCACATCCCATTCTTTCCTGCACCTACCTTATTCAGCATTATGACATCACTATAATACAGAGGCTGCTTTTGTGAAAGTTCACAGTGATCTCTGTGGCACCAAATCAGTTGGTCACTTTTCTGGTCTCTCAGCAGAGTTCAATGCAAATAAATACAGTTGACCCTTGAACAGCATGGGTTTGAACTGCACGTGTTCACCTATATGTAGATTCTTTTCAGTCAGTTGTGAATCTAAAATACAGTGTTCATGGGATGTGGATCAGTGTATAAGGAGTCAGCTTTTCTACAGGGTTTTTGCAGAAAAGTTTCTACAGGACTGACTGTGGGACTTGAGTGTCTGTGGGGTTTTGTATATGCTTGGGTCTTAGAACCAGTCCCTCTCAGATACCAAGGGACGACTGTACTTTCTCCTTGAAATGTCCTTCTTTTGTCTTCTGAGACATTACATTCCTGGTTTTCCTCTTCGTTCTCTCTTCCTTCAGTCTTCTTTGCTTTTATTTCTGTTCCATCCATAAATATGTACAAGTTTCAGAGTTCAGTCCTGGGAATACTTCTCTAGTAACACTCTCTCCCTGGATGATCTCAACCAGTTTCATGAGTTTTTAAAATGTTACTTAAATCCTTGCTTAAATCTCACTGTGACCATTCTACCAAGTTCTCAACTTACATATTTACTTGGATATACAAGGGTACTTCAACAAGTTCGTGGAAAAATGGAATTAAAGACAATGCAAATCTTTACATGTGCTTTTTGAAGTACCCTAGTATAGTAGGTTTCTTGAACTTAACATGATAAAAACGGAACATTTTATTTTATCTCCCAAACCAGTTCCATCACCTGTCTCTTCAATATAACAGATGACTCTACTTTCACCTTCCACATTCAATTCATTGGCAAATGTCAGCTTTCTCTTTAAAATATATGGTCATGATCTGCCATAGTTACCTTGCTAATCTCCTTGTTTTCCTTTTAGAACCCCAGAATTCAGTTCTCCACAGTCAGCTGGATTAAGTTTACAAAACAAAAACAGAAACAAAAACGCAAATATTTCTACTTAGAGTTCTCCAGTCAGGCTGGCTGGTTAGCTTACTTGGTTAGAGCACGGTGTTGGAGAAGTTCTCTGGTGCCCTCGTACTGGACAGATCTCCTACTTTCCTGTTTATCTCCTAATTCTTATCCTCACTCACTGTACTTCAGCCATCCCTGCCTTCTTTCCATACTAAAACACACCAAGCTTATTCCTACAGTAAGGCCTTTTTATCTGTTTCTTCTGTCTGGAATGATCTGCCACAGATGCCTAGCCCTTTCTTATGATTCAGGTCTCAGCTGAAATGTCATGCCCTTAGAGGTTTTTATTTGAGTGTACAATCTAAATTAGCCCCTCTCTATTTTATTTCCTTTGTAGCATTCAATACTATCTAAAATGACCTGGTTTTGTTTACAAGTTGCCAGTCCTACCAGACTGAGGACAAATGTTTTCTCACCACTGTATCTGTGAAGCTTCTTGGATAGTGCCTGGCACATAGTATACATCGTAGTTGCTCACTAAATATTTATTAAAAAAGAATGAGTATAAGAATGACTGACAACATGGAGGTCATAGTTCCCAATAAAAATTCTGAATGGTTGAAAAACATGATAGTGTGAGTAACCACGGCAAGTCATAATTAGCAAGACTTGGGTTCTCACATTTGGGCATAGAAAGGACTAGAAAACATTTTTAATTTGAATTTATAGTTAGCTTCCTTCCTCCTACTAATAAAGACTAAGATTTTATTTCTGGAAATTTTAGCAGAGCAAATATAGAAGTTATATCTAGAAGCTAAAACCCTGGTAGGGTTGATTGACAATTTATAACAATGAAAAAATTAGCAAAGTATAACAGTGAGTCAATGAGCTTAACAAGAACAGAAATTCTAAGGATATATAATACTAATAGTATGTAAATGCCCGAAGTTGCTTTGTTGATTTTGTAGATGCCAAAGTCAATCTAAAACTAGAAATGATTAAATGGTTTTAAACTTCTTGAATCATAGTGAGGAACATAAAATAATTTATCTTAAAAGGTTTATATAGTTGTAAATCCACCCAGGAAATCTTTTTTTTTTTTTTTTTTTTTTTTTCTTGGTCCTTTTTGAGACCAGCCGCACCTGTGAGTGCACCGGTCATTCCTATATAGGATCCGAACCCGCGGTAGGAGTGCTGCTGCGCTCCCAGCGCCGCACTCTCCTGAGTGCGCCATGGGCTCGGCCCTCCACCCAGGAAATCTTTTGAAGAGTATGTGAGTGGCCAGAAATTTTACATGAGAGTGTAAAGAATGTGAAACATTTTTTTTTTTTTCGTGACCGGCAATGGATCGCAACCGGCAATGGATCGCAACCCTCAGTGTTGCGCCCGTACCGGACCGGGACCAGCAACGGGATCGCAACCCTTGGCGTTGCACCCGCACCCCGCTCAGCCAGTGAGCGGCTGGTCTGTATGTGGGATCCAAACCCTCGGCGGGAGCGCCGCCACACTCCCAAGCGGCGCACTGTAGCAGTGCGCCACCAGGCCGGCCCGTGGATTGTGAAACATTTGATGCAAACCTACTTACTTAGAATTTTGAAAAATAACATTTACTTAAATGTTTTTACCCAAAACAGGTTAATATTTTCCACTGTGGATGTGTTATAGCAGAAATACGTGACTACAGGCAGTCCAGTAATATGAAATCTCCTGGTTATCAAAGTAGGCACATTCTCTTACGTCCAACAATGCAGGTAAGAAATATTTAATTAAGAAGTTTTATTTTAGATTTTAGTTGGAGTTTTACTTATGTCTTCATATGTTTGTGATTCATTAATGGGTTTTTAAATTTTTATTTCTTCCAGACTTTAATCTGTGATGTACATTCAATAACAAGTGATAACCATAAGTGGACCCAGGTTAGTTGTTTGTTTTGCTTTTTAATACCATATGAACAAAATATAAGGTGAAGCAATACTTCTGTCATTAAGCTAAGCAAAAGCTATATTATACTTGTTTTTATTCGTGAATAAAGTTTAACACCTTTTGTGGAAAACTAGGATTCCTTTATAAGCTTTGGAAGTTAAGAGTTTCTTTATATATACAGTAATCTCTCAAGGAATTCTCACAGTTCAATCCCACTCGCTTAGGACTATGTTAGGGTCCAGCTGACCTGTTATGCCCAGTGTGAAACTTAGTTCTTTATCTCCTCTCAAACAGAAGAATAATGTTTTGTTTTTACCATGGATACAAACAGATATTAATTTTCTATCATCTAGGATTCTAAAGCAGACCTGACTTGTCTTTTTTTCCCTTTTATACTGGTTGCCTTGGCACCCTTACTCCTGAAGATAGCGAGGTAACCCTCTAGTTCTGGTTCAACAATATATGAGATGCCCATTCACAAGAGACTTATTTTTTTTGCTACTATGGAGAAGAGGAGTAATTACTAAATCAGAGAAAATATTCATAATGAAAATTATCCTCTCTGTGCAATCTTTTATCTACAAGGAGGTTAAAGGTTATTTAAAAACAAATTCAGAGACAAAAAAGTCATTGGACGCCATTGGAAGTTGCTAGGGCATCAATTTTTTACTCTGAGAATTTATAAAGGAGAGAATATAGTGTTTATTCTGATATTCCTGTCTGAACTATATTTTAGGAAGCCAAATAGTAACTGAGGGAAAATACCTTAGAAAAATTCCAACTAATAGGTACAAAAGAAATGATAGACTTTAAAAAATATCGTTAATTTGAAAGTTTTAATGAAGTAAGGAATCTAGACAGCAGTCATTCTAGATCTGAAAACCAGTAGGTGATGTGGGAAATTTTATATTGCAGAGAGCTGATTAAGCTCACTGATTTGAAAGTGGGACAGTGAATCATCGTATCCTTCATGGTGTAATGCAATAGAGATTACATATAGTACCAACAAAGAATTCCTAAGTGAAAAGTAGAGGCTGAATTAAATCAGGCCTCTAGATCTAACTAGTTTATAAGGAATTCAGGGAATAAAAGAAACCTGTAAGTGACACAATGAGGAAGCAACCAGCCTGATGCAGTTAAATGATACCATGAGAAAGCAATGGGTCGAGTCCAACAAATCAGTTGCATATGAAAAAAAAAGATGAGGGAAGAAGTGACCATTACAGAATAAAAAAGATGCTGAAGAGATATAAAAACCAAATGCAATAAGTGGTGGGCCTTGTTTAAGTTCCGATTCTAACAAACCAACTGAAATATGCTCTTGTGGACAATGGGGGAAAATTTTAAATCCAAACTGGATATTAGAGGAACTTATCAGTTAACAGTGCATGTTAAGTTATTCCCAAGTGAAATAACACAACATCTGAGATGTATTTTAAATTACTCTAGCAAAACAAACAAAAACAAAAGTTATGGGGACAGTTGTTAAATGAAATTGAGTGTTGGGACATAGGTGTCATTTTACTTCTACTTTTGTGAAAGAAGCATTTTTTTTCTTTTTCTTTTTTTGCGAAAATTCTTATTCAGCAATGTTGACTCGTGACTTTAAAAAATTTAGTTATAGGGGCCGGCCCGGTGGCGCACTGCTACAGTGCGCCGCTTGGGAGCGCGGTGGCGCTCCCGCCGAGGGTTCAGATCCCACATACAGACCGGTTCCCGCTCACTGGCTGAGCGAGGGGCAGGCGCAGCACCGAGGGTTGCGATCCCATTGCCGGTCCTGGTCCGGTACGGGCACGACACTGAGGGTTGCGGTCCATTGCCGGACATGACAAAAAGACAAAAAAAGACCAAAAAAAAAAAAATTTAGTTATAGCTATTAAGATATTTCAGAGGCTAAGCAACATAAAAAGATTCAGTAAAGTAACGTGATACAAATAAAGAGCCTTTATGTACTCTGGAATTGGATATATAGAATTTGCACAGTATTGGAATAGTCATTTTTATTCTTTTGGCGGGGTGGGCAGCTGGTCGGTATGAGGATCTGAACCCTTGACATTGGTGTTATTAGCATTATGCTCTAACCAAGTGAGGTAACTGGCCAGCCTTCATTTTTATTCTTGAAATGTAGTTAACCTGAGCATAGAATGGGACCATCACCTCTCAGTTCCTCAAAGTTCTTTAATCCATCATGACCCTGTAAGTTTTGTAAGAGCAGAGGATTTTATCTGTTTTGTTCACCCTTAACACATAGTAGGTGCTCAGTAAATATTTGTTGATTTAATGTATAAGAACTTTTAAAATTTGACCATTTCATACACCATACAAAGTATTGAATTTCCATCAGAAGTTTCTTTATGCTGTTAAGTTTCTAGTTTACACTCTGGCATTGGAACTTGAAATATTATATTTTATTGTAGTCCTTAGCAGAGTTCTGTGGAATATTTCTAGATTAAGTGATACATATGATTGCATATTCAAAAATCTTAAATCTGGTATTGACATATGCTCTTACACATTTCAGGAAGACAAACTTTTGCTTGAGAGTCAACTGATTCTAGCTACAGCTGAACCACTGTGTCTTGATCCTTCTATAGCAGTAACCTGCACTGCAAACAGACTGCTCTATAACAAGCAAAAGATGAACACTCGCCCAATGAAACGGTAATTGCCTTTGTGGAAGGGTGAGCCAAAAGACACTCCTGTGATGAAATTTTTGCTTTTCCCTTTATAAGTGCTCTGGTTTTTTAAATTTGAAAATAGGATTTCTAATGGCCTTGTAGTACATTTTTTGTGTATTATGATTTTTTAATACTTTTTGCTTTATTTTGAAGTGATGCATTTTTTGCGATCTTTTAAAGTACTGACTTCCTATAAGTTTGTAGTCACTTCAACAGAAAGGTACAGAGGCTGAGAAAAGATCAAGTATGATCAGAAAGAATAATAATTTCATTACTTCCTGATATCCAATAACCATTTTAATATTTGTTAGGCTTTTAAAGAAGCAATTTTTAATTTATTTTTGAGATTTGGGAAAATACTAGTTTTAGAAATCAGTTTATAACTAAATGTCTTTTTTGTCTTTAAATGTTGTAGCTGTGTCTTCTACTTAATAAAATGGGTGCACATTAATTTGGGCTGCAGTTCTAGTTGGTTCATCATTAAGTACTCTTTATTTACTTTTTTAGGTTGCCCACTTTGGAGCTTCTTTAAATTTGAAGGGGCTCGAAAAACCTATTTCCTAAATTTCATAATTCACTATATAAATAGTATATTCAGAGGAAAAGGTACAGCATTGTAAATAAGTCCATCTAGGATCCATCGGCAGTCCTAGAAAGTCTCCTCATATCCCTGTCCACATCTCTTCTTACCTGTTGCCGATATCTTACTCCAGGCTACCATCATCTTCATCTTGACCTCTGTAATAAACTCATAACTGGTTTTCTTGCTTCTAATTTTGCTTCCTTCTGGTCTGTTTACCATGTAAGCAAACCAGATCATGCCACTCGTTGCTTAAATTCCCCTAAAAGCATTGCACTGCACCTTAAATCTAAACACTTTACCATTAGTCTGCAAGGCCTTGTCTTGCTCTCTGACCTCAACTATTGTGTGAACCCTGTTGTTCTAGTCACACCTACCTTTTTTGTGTTTTTGAAACAAACCAAGTTTGCTCCTGCCCCAGAGCCATTTAAAATTCTTCTCTCTGGTTCATATACTCATTCCCCAGTCTTTCAAAATGGTTCCTTTTCCCTTCCCCCTCTGGGAAGCATGAGGGGATTTTTCTCCACTGTTCCCTGTTAGAGCCTCTTAGAGATCCTGGAGATAAAACTCATAAAAGTGTGGGAGCTCCCAATGACTTGATCCTCCTGAAGTTTTTTTTTTTTGTCTCTTTTACTGACCGGTAACGGGATCGCAACCCTCGGTGTCGCGCCCGCACCGCGCTCAGCCAGCGAACGGGAACCGGTCTCCACATGGGAGCCGAACCCTCGGCGGGAGCGCCGCCGCGCTCCCAAGCGGCGAACTCTCCAGTGCGCCACTGGGCTGGCCCCCCCTGAAGTTTTTAATCCCTCAGATTTGTCCATGCTGAGCCTCTAGCAATTTGTCATTTATACCTTCGGTTTCCCTACCCCATCACTAGTTCTCAGGGAGATTTGTGCTCATGTGTTTCTGGTCCAGTGAACCACCATGCTCTGTATACGTTTGTTGGTGTCTCCAAATTGGGAGGCAGTGGTGTGAACTACCTCTTTGATGGATCTAAGAACTGTTCATTTTTCAGTTTATTCAGCTTTTTACTTGTTAGGATGGAGTGTTGACTTCTAGCCTCTTATGTGGGTGAAACAGAAACCAAAAGTTGTCCCTGACCCCCCTCTTCTTTCCATAGCCAGTTCCTTCTTGTCATTTATCTCTTAGCTCACACGTCATTTCTTTAGAGAGTTCTTCCCTTTCCTCCCTGATTCTCAGTTAATGTTGCCCTTCCTATCACTAACTCACCAAAGTATGCTTTTTTTCTCCTACTACTTATTGTTATCTGAAATCATCTTATCTGTTTACTCATTAATGTCTCTCTCCCCCTCTGGACTATCAGCTCCTTGGTGGTGGGAATTTTGTCTTATTTGTTTTTATTTCACCAGTGCCTAGGACATTGCTTGGCATGTGGTGGTGGTCTATAAATATTTGTGATTTAGTTACATATTTAATGCTTACTAGTTTAAACACACATATATTGTGAATTTCTTTTATTAGTTTTGTTTAGTTCAAATCTTTTAATATTTCAGGTGTTTCAAGAGATATTCCAGGTCCTCTCTGAATCGGCAGCAGGATCTGTCTCATTGTCCACCTCCTCCTCAGCTGAGATTACTTGATTTTTTACAAAAAAGAAAGGAAAGAAAAGCAGGTCAGCATTATGACCTCAAAATTTCTAAAGCAGGAAATGTAAGTATATATTTTTTAAACAAAGCTTATTATTATGCCAAAAAGCTTGCCTTATTTTGAATTTTCCAAGTATTTATACTGTTTTTAATTTTTCAGTGTGTGGATATGTGGAAACGGAGTCCCTGTAGTTTAGCCATACCTTCTGAAGTGGATGTAAGTCAGTTCATGAATTGTTTTTTCTTTTCACATAAGATTCCTAAGTTCTACCATTAGGTAGCTTATACCTTGAGAAAACAAAGAATCTGACTTCTTTTAAAAACAAAATGATTTTTTAAAAAAATCAACTTGTTTTTAGAAGCTATATATTCTTTCATGTTATGTAAGAAGGTAACCCCTTAATATAGTTCTATGTTATGTTTAGAGCAGGAATAATAAAACAATTTCAAAATGTTGGAAAATATGGTATATATTACATAATACACATGAAATGCTTCTGGTTTTTTTGTCGTAATATTTCATTATAATTTTCTCATAATGCTCCTTTCCTCAAACTAGTTAAATTTAAAGATTAATAGTACTGGAGCAGTGGCCAAGATTAGGAACGTTGGGCAGTATTCTTTACTGATCCATGATATACATGAACAATAAATGATTGAAGACAGGAGAGGGATATTTCAATGAGAGGGTCTACACTTTATTTTCCTTTTTCTTTCTCTTGTGTTCTTTTTTTATTATTCATTCTACCTTTTACAGTTTAGTTATTTTCAGATTTGTTGCTCATTTTTACATCCTTACTAGGCTAGCACATGTACTATTCTTACTATGTATGATTTAAAAAAAAAAAAAAAAAGTACAACAAACAAGTCAAAAGCATCAATAGGCTGACTCTATGAGGGCGCTTCTAAAAGTCCATGGAAAGATTCATATTTTCTTTTAGTTCTGTTTTTCCAGGAACTTTTCGAAGTACCCTCATATATACAATTCAAAGAAGTAAGCCATGTTATCTTTTGATAGCGTATATGCTCCTTAACAAACATGGACTGAGAATAGATGTTTACTATCAATACCAGAGGGTGGAATTTAGCTTTGGACGGCAGGCTAGATATCTAAAGCAGTACTTCCCAAACTTTAATGTACATACAAATCACCTGGAGAACTTTTTAGATTGTAGGCTCCCATTCAGAACATCTGGGCTGGGGCCTGAGGTGCTGCAGTTCTCACAAACCTCCTAGGTTATGTGGTGCTGGGGTTCACCAGACCATAAGTAGCAAGGCCCTACTACAAAGTTTCTCACATACAAAGCTCAATCAAAAGAATCACCGAAGATATGTAAACAAACATTTCAAATCCCACTTCCAACCTACTTACTTAATCAGGGTCTCCAGGGGAGGGACATGAAAGTCTGTGTTTTTAACTGTTGCCCAAGTGAGTCTAAATTACTCTTAAATCATGTTTACTGGAGAGATGAGAACATTTTATTCACAAAGACTCTTAAGAGAAACACAGGATATATAGCCCAAGTCTGACTAGAAAGTAGAAAAGTTTCAAAAAATGTTACCAACTTAATATTATATCTTCACTAGCTTCTTTTCAAGTTTGTCCCCACTGTTACATGACAACTGTTGCATTAAAAACCCTGTCGAAAGGAAGAGATCCTAATCCTTCTCTCTCTGCCATTCCAGTTTTCCTAAAGGAAAGGCTTTAAAGGACAAATGTGATGTCAGCTTACAGAATAAAAAGAAGAGGCACTGTTAGAAAAGCAGCTGTGTTTATTACATTGATTTGGTGGCAAAAGGGATTCTAATTTTTATTATTAAAGTTGTTTTAACTGAACATGTCAGGAGAGTTTTAAACTGCTTAAGCGTTAAGTAGTTGGTTATATTAATGATTCAGGAATTCCTGTGCTAACAAGTATATTGTATTGTTGCGTTACGTAGGTTCTTCTCTTTGGGCAGAACACTGATTCCGTTTTATCTAGTGTCTCTTGATTTGATTGTTTAGGTGGAGAAATATGCTAAAGTGGAAAAGTCTATCAAATCTGATGACTCACAACCAACAGTCTGGCCTGCCCATGTAAGTAATCATTGCCAGTCTCTTTTTCTAATGGTGCTGTTTCTAAGCTGGGATCTGAATTTGTTAAACGTAAAGTGCAATTGCCTTTAGTTTGGGACCTGTTTTTTTTTGTTTTTTAAAGGATTTTCTGGGGTTCAGTGAATTACAAGAATAGTCATCTATTTTGTTTTTTAGAAAGTATGGTTTTCATTCTAAAGAACAGTTTGATGCAGAACTCCATTTTTACTTTTGCTTGCATAATGGTCATTCTGATTTGTTTTCTATTTCAAATTGTAAACTCTTCTAAGGATGTCTCTTAACAGAAATGTTCCATATAAATTTCCCTAATTGCAATTATAACTTCTTAAAGGGAGAAATAGGCATAATATATTAAATTAGGTGAATTCTGGGAGTGAAATGAAGAGAGATGTTTTGTATGTATGATAGCAAGAACAGACTAATGACAAATAGAAACATATCTGCTTTCGAAAGTTTTATCCCCTTAATATTATTTAATATTTGCAATTTATATACAGGGTATGAAATTCTGCCATATTTCTCTTGGCTTGAGTCACTAAATACCCCATTGGGACTCTCATTTCCAAAGTACCATTTAAAAAAGAATCCTTTACAGCCCTTGCTTAGCAGGGAGGGGTGGGACAGCATGAGGGTCGTGGGTCCAGGCTAGGGACAGACTGCTAGCTACCTGTGTGACACCAGGCAAGTCACTTAACTTCTCTCTGCTCAGTTCCCCGAACTCTAACATGGAGATAATAAAAGTACCAACCAATAGGGATGTGGTGAAGATTCCATGAGCAGTACCGGTAGAGTGCTGAGAACAATGTTCAATAAATGTTTACTGTTTTTATTTCCAATATGTATATTAATATGTATAATAATGTATTTAATGCTGTATTAATATAACAACATTGTATGTTTGTACTTCATAGTATATGTTAATGCTTTATTAAATGCATACTTACTGTGTATATATTTAAACAAACAAACATCTTGTGCTTTATTCTCTTAGGCAGTTTTAAACATCTCTGTAGCCTAAGTACCTTGTGTTTTCCTGTTGCCAGATATCCCAATTTTTGCAGATTCTGATTGCTTGCTTACTTGGGATTTTACTTATATTTTATTTGGGATGCTCTGTCTTTTTCAGGATGTAAAAGATGATTATGTATTTGAATGTGAAGCTGGTAATCAGTATCAGAAAACAAAGCTGACCATTTTACAGTCACTTGGTGATCCACTTTACTATGGTAAAATACAGCCATGTAAAGCAGATGAAGAAAGTGACAACCAGATGTCTCCATCTCAGTGAGTTTTGTAAATACACAAAGCTGATAAAATCAAGCATCCAGAATTTATTTAGTAACTACCGATGAACCATCAGTGTATACAAATTTTTCTTTGGAGATTTATTTGTTAGTTAAATATACCAATTACATTTGGCACTGGACCTAAGTAAACTTAAATCATAGTTATCATGTTGTCCAAGAGTTATTTTAAAATAATAATAATTTCTTTTTTAAAAACTGTGGTATAATGGGCTGGCCCATGGCTCACTTGGGAGAGTGTGATGCTGATCACACCAAGGCCACGGGTTCAGATCCTTATATAGAGATCGCTGTTTAGCTCACTTGGGAGAGTGTGGTGCTGACAACACCAAGTCAAGGGTTAAGATCCCCTTACTGGTCATCTTGGGGAAAAAAAAGAAAATAACTATGATATAATTATTTTTGTGCTTGTTTTGAAGGATATGCCTGTGATATCCTCCTTGATATATTTATGTGTTGGCACTTATGACTTTAACTTCTGTGTGAGCATGAAGTATCCAGGCAATAGTATGTTTAAATGGGAAGCAAGTTTACTATAAATGTTAAAGATGCTTGGTATTTCAGCACTGCATGTAAGGACACAGACTCAGTGCTCAACATACTTATTGGCCCTAGAAATGTATATATTTGGTCTTCAGAACATATAAACTACATGTATTTAATACAGGGTACCAGTATTTAGTTTTGTTTGTTTTTATTATTAGTTTTGGGTTTTTAATCAAATTGATGCTGTTTTGAAAGAAGAAAAAAGGAGGAGCTCAGCAGAAAAAGGCAGGGACCAGATTTATGTTGAATTGTTTGTAAAGCCTTTACTTACTCAAAAAACTAATTGAAACTACAATACAAAGGTGGGTTTTAAAGAGTAACCTCACCAATATCTAGGTGAAAGTCACTGAGAGTTCATAGTAGCATTCAGGGAATCCTCATCTAACTTTTTCTCATTACCTGTTTATATTTATTATATACAGAGCAAAAAGATCATGTATTTTGATTACCTATATTTTTAAAAAATCTTCCCCTTAAAGACATACTTTGGTCATATATGTTCTCTCACGAAAAAAATCAGTCCAAAAAGCCAACTGACTAATTTGTTTGATACGAAGAGAATTCAGTTTTTTGCCTTTATTACATCATGGAGTTGCTGCAGAAATGCTGCATGATTTATTACCTTCCAATCATTATTCCATATTCTTAAATTACTTAAATAATTATGAAGTTAAAGTTTGAGCTGCATTAACCAAGTTTTTTTGTTTTTGTTTTTTTTTTACATTTTATATTTCAGCTCCTCCACAGATGATCATTCAAATTGGTAATTAAAAAATAAGCAAACTCACTATTATAATTTGTTTTAAAAGATCATATAAATGTCGAACTCTTTAAAAAGACCCAGTGAAGATATTTTATTTCAACTGGCGATAAACTGTCTTACTTGTCTGAAATATATCCTAAGGTCCTCCTATGTAGACATTATTAATGACTTCCAAAATTAAAGGTTAAAGTGAGAGGAAGGCCAAAGGCCTTGTACACAATAGTTCAGTGATTTTGACGTAGGACTGACACTTGTAAGGGTGTATAGCACTTGGTAACTTTCAGCCTGGATTATGTTTTGATAGATAAATTTTGTGCCAAAAAAAAAATCTCCCTTAAGTTGAATCAGCCAAATTATTCACATAATTTTTTCATAATGCATGCAAAACTTGGTCATTGCGTTATAAGTTTAAATATGTTTTTAAATTTTTTTCATGATACTTAGTAGATCTAAAATTATTATCTAAAATTATTTTGACTAAAATATGGAAGAGTTCAAAGGTAACCCTAGGACTCCTTAAGACAACTTTAATACTTCTTTCTCTCTCTCTTTTTTTAAACATTTTAGGTTTATTATTGGTTCAAAGACTGATGCTGAGAGGTAAAAATATGGGCATTTTTATATTTGGTCAGGGTGGAGATGAAAAACTTTTCCCCCTTACAGGGTAGAGAGTACTCCATTAGGACTCAAAAACTTTGATTTTAGTTAAGCCATTAACTGTTCAACGTACATCATTTAATATTTATGGACCTCAGCTGTAAAATTAGATCAATGGACAATAAAATCTCTAAGGTCCTTTCCAACTTTAAAGTCCCATTGATTATAGGAAAATGTTCGAAAGGGTGTGATATACAAAACTATTAAGAATGGTTGTTTTTGTGGGTTGAAATTATGAGGAACTTAATTGCATTTTTCTAATTTTTTAGTACCTAGGATGTTTATTAATAGAATTAAGAAAATAATGAAACAAATAATGTTTATAAATACAGTTTAAAACATACCTATTGTTGCTAAGGAAGATGATTTCGAGGTAGTACTTTAATCAGAATCTAAGAAAGGCAATAAGTAATTTCTTTGGCTGCTTATTGGTTAAGATATTGAATGTGTATCTTTAGATTATTTAATTAGCAAAATGTTTTAAATATTAGCTTCTCATTGGAAAGATTAGAAGAATGTACTTTTAACTCAAAGATAAATTGCCTAAAAATTGTGTTTAAAACAGGGTTAGCTAATCTTTACATATATTTTTTCCTAATATTTCAGGGTAGTAAATCAGTACCAAGAATTGGTCCAGAATGAAGCCAAATGTCCAGTCAAGATGTCACATAGCTCCAGTGGCTCAGCCAGTCTGAGTCAGCATTCTCCTGGGAAAGAAACAGAAGTATGTTTCATTACCAATACTTTTTTCTGCCTAATTATTTCTCAAGGAATCTGAAAAATTTTATAGATCATGTTTTGAGGTGGTGGGGGGGGTATTATTTAGTTTTACTTTTAACTTTTTTTATTTAACATTTTATAATAGATACTTTCAAATGTACGCAAAGGTAGAAAAGTATAATGAACACCTGTGTTCTAGTTTTCTGGCTTTAAGCGTTGTAATTTTCTTTTAAAAAGATAGATATAGAAGGGTGGAAGTTTCGCCTTCATCTTACTACTCTGCTGTTCTTACTCAAACTCTTTCTTCCCACCCCCCACTCAGAAATCATTCCCTCATCCTTTATGTGTACTGTAACATATTTCGTGGGTCTCAGGTGAAATTACATTCCTCTGTAATATCTATAATCAGTCTGTCACCACTAAGAGTACTCTGCAGAGTTACAAGTTGTGTGTTTTCATTTGGGAGTTATAGTGGTATTAATTTTAACAAGAATGCTTAATGTCACTGTCTTTCAGCAGCCTGAGACCATATCAGTTCAGTCTTCAGTATTGGGGAAGGGAGTAAAACATCGACCTCCACCCATCAAACTTCCCTCAAGCTCAGGAAATAGTTCCTCAGGTATCATATTCCTTAGTTTTCTATAACCTAGAGTAAGTAAGAAGCATCATACAGCCATAATTGCTTTCAAAAACTTTACTCATATTTTGGTTTCTGCAATTCACAGGACTTTGAACTGTAAATCTAGGAAATAACATATTTTTCTTCTAGGTAACTATTTTACGCCACAACAGGCAAGCAGTTTTCTTAAATCTCCAACTCCTCCTCCTTCCTCTAAGCCACCAAGTCTTTCTAGGAAGTCATCTGTGGATCTCAGTCAAGTCAGCATGCTTTCTCCAGCTGCTCTGTCACCTGCCAGCTCTTCACAAAGTGAGTCATAACTTAAATTCTTCATTAAATCTTCTTAGGCTTTTGCATTAGCGTTTCTTAAAACAGCTTTTTTTTTTCGACCTGTGAAATAGTGAAATCCGAATGTATTGTGTACCTAAAATGTATAAGTTGCAAGAAGCTTCAGGCAGAGCTCTTGTTGGTTGTACGTATTACGTGTTTATTGTAATTGTATTTGTTTTTCTGTATCTATGTATGCACTCTGTGTATACCTTTCTTATGGACTTGTAACCTACACATCTTAGAAAATAATCAGGTAGTTAGGTGTGACAGTAAGATTCCAAAATATTCCTTATTTCAGTGTACCCTAGGATCGTTTTATATTTTATGTAAACTCTGTGGCTGATATGAAAAAAAAGAAGTCATAAGAATTGTTGGTGCAGGTCCTATCTTTGTATATATGTAAGAAGCCAACTAATTCCAATGTGATGATACAGTAAACTGAAAACCAATATTTCAAAAACACTCCTACACTCCTATAAATTGTTGTCAGTTACTAAAATGTGATAATGATCATAAAAGATTATTCTGAAGATATTAAAATGTAGTTTTTACTACTGAATATTTTTTTTAAAAAACATCAAAAAGAATTAAACAAGAATGATAGCATTAGTTTGGGAGAATTTCTTCAAATTAGTAAATATCTGAATATGTTAGGTACCAATTTGGGGCAAAAAAGCATTCCAGTTTTTTAGATTTTTTTATATATAACTAATATGTGCTTAAAGTTTTAGTACACTGCACAGTGATAGGGTGGTCTTCGCATTAGGTATAAACATCTTCATCTTGATAGCTCAAAAGGTGTAATTTTTCTGCCTTCTTGTTTTGCACAAAGAAAAATATATAAATTTTCTGAAAGTCTTATTCACACTTCTTATGTTGTGGGTATGGATTATGGTAATCTACTGCACACAGTTGTTACTTTAAGTAAGGGTTGAGTGACAGCTTCTGGACATTCACATTTCTTTCCTTTCTTTCTGCAGGACATGAAAGCTAAAAAAGAAAACACCTCAAGAGCTTTTGGTTTTACTTTTTTGGTTTTTGTTTTTTGTTTTTGTTTTTGTTTTTAATTGATAAACTGTGCATACTTCATTCACAACAGATTTTCTTATACATTCTACATTTAAACAGAAGTACACAGTTACTGTTAAAGATGCAGTATTATCTATCAAATATTTGCTTCATTACTGGTTTTTGTAAATTTGTTTGTCAGGATAAACTTGATGTGTTAGGAATGAAACATGTATATTTAGGTGCCAAATATGATTGTTAACCATATGTAATTATTAAATATGCTCACAGTTTATCTCAGACTGTTACACTAAATAAGCAGTATTTTAAATGAAGTCTTGAATTAGTGAAATCGTACATAACAAAAATTAATTTGAATTCCTTTTGAACTTTTTAGGCCAAAGGCAGCATGTAGGAAACTAACTTTTAAATGGGTATTGTGGTAGAATACAAATGTATATTTTTACTGTTACTGTAATAGCATCTTTGATGGGATTTCTAGGTGATATACTGCATCCTTAATTGTAATTGAGTGTAGCAACACTCATGTATCATGTGTAGAAATTAACACTTGCAGTTAACTGCTTAAAAAAAACTGGAACAAATTGTCAGTGCTAAGTAAGATTCCATTAACCTTATTTTAAAAAGGACTGGCCATTTATAACAAACTAGCAATTTTTATTTTTCTCAATGAGCAGGATCTGGAACTCCTAAGCCATCTACTCCTACACCAACCCCTTCATCGGCCCCACACCCTCCTGATGCTCAGAGCTCAACTCCTAGTACCCCTTCAACCACCCCTCCTCCCCAAGATTCAGGCTTCACCCCTCAGCCCACTTTGTTAACTCAGTTTGCTCAGCAGCAAAGGTCTCTGAGCCAGGCAATGCCTGTAACAACCATTCCTCTTTCCACCATGGTAACATCTATAACGACAGGAACCACGGCCACCCAGGTCATGGCAAACTCTGCTGGACTTAACTTCATCAATGTAGTGGGCTCTGTTTGGTAAGTTTGCATTGATGTCCCGATTTTTTTTTTTTAAAGGTAGTCTCACCAATCTAAATGCATTCTTATTTGTGAAATTAAGAACAAATTGCGTATTACTCAAACCAAAAGAGAATAGTTATAGAGAGAAGCTGCCTTACATGTATGTGTTAATTTTAGGTAATACATCTTCCCGCACTAAGATGATGCTTTATATTGACAGCAACTTAGATTTTCCTGTTTATCCTCAGTGTTACCATTTTTAAACCCTTGGTTAGTCCTGTACTTTTCCAACTGATATTTTAAACCTTGATAAATATACAGTACTTAATTTTAGGTAACCTTGCTGTGTCACTCTCTGGCATTAAAATGAAACTGAGCCTAGAAATTGGTATATAAGACAGAAATAACTAATTTTTTAGTAGTTTATTTTTTAATCTGAGGATTATTATGTGGCTGATTTTTCCTTCAGTGCAAATTTAATGTTTTGTCTTATTCTCCTACAGTGGTGCCCAGGCTTTGATGAGTGGTTCAAACCCCATGCTGGGCAGTAACACTGGTGCCATAACTCCTGCAGGAATAAACCTGAGCGGCCTTCTACCCTCGGGAGGTCTGCTTCCAAATGCATTGCCCAGTGCAATGCAGGCAGCTTCTCAAGCAGGTCAGAATATTGGAAATAATAACCTCTAAAAAAACTAAAGTACATGCTAAAATAAGTGTTACTATACTGAAGGTATTTAATATAATTATTTCATGAAGTAGTATATCCCAGGTATTTCATTTCAGAAGTCCTTAAAGTTCTGACATTTGAATTAAAAACCATCTAGCAATCAACTTCTGTGAAGAAACTTGGTAAGCCTGTAATTCTGTGCAAATTGTATCTTTTGCTCTCTGAACATTATAGTAAAATTAATTTTGGTAGCCTTATTGCTGTCAGTGTAGTCATGTTCCAAGGAAAATAAATGGATTTTGAAAATGTACATTGTGCGAGACAGACATCAGAGTATGGCAGATTTTAAAAGCCTGCATTCTGTAGCCAGACTGCCTCAGTTTGAATACTTGTTGTGCAGCTCACAATTTGTGTAATCTTGGAAAAGTTACCTTAATGCCTCATTTTTATTCATAGGAATAGCAAAAATAACCTTATAGTTGTGAATAGTAAATGAATAATACAGATGAAGTGTGTAAACTGTGCCCAAGACATGATACCATTCAAAAATATTTGCTGTCATCATCATTCTTAGCAGTAGTCATTTTCTTGTAGTAGTTATCACATATACTAGAAAACAGTTCTAACAACTTGTGCTATTTTTTGGTGCTCTTTATAAGAATGTGTTATGTCTTGGAACAATTCAATTTCTTACTATTGAGGAAAAACAAACAACATAGTAAGAAAAATTTATTAAAAACTTTCTATGAGTTATGAGAAAGAGAACCTAAAGAACATAATTTAAACATGGTAACATGTTGTTGTAATTTCCTAATTCTAGCTAATGTTTGTATTTTAACGAGCATAAATGTGCTCTAATGGCAGAAGCCCTGGAAATGGAATCAGATCTTAAGTTTAGGATATTTACGTGCAACTCTACCAGTTGTACCAATTGGCCCCAGTTGCTAACTTTGGGGCCTTAGAGAAGTCACTTATTTTTTCTCTCTTAGCCTCAGTTCCATCTACTCCAAAATGGAAATAAAAATATCTTTAGTTTGTGCTTATGGGAAATAAGTGAAAAAGTGCCTTTGGTCATCCACCTTTAAACGAGTATCAGTTTTGTCATGTTTTAATCTGATTACAATTTTTCAGTTTCTCATAAAAAGCTTGATAGTGTTACCTATGAATTTCCTGACTCTTCTTTTTTATATATAAAATTATCTGATAAAAGGAATAGATACAATTTTAATTAGTGGTCAAACTGGTATATTTCATTAGTGAGGAAAATATGCATATACTTTGAGACCTGGATCAGCAAATTACAGCCCACTGTCTAAGCTAAGAATGGTTGTTATATTTTTTAAAGGGTTATTAAAAATATATATTTATATATATGAGAGACAGAGGCCACGTGTGGCCCACAAAATCTACATTTTGGCCTTTACCACCCCCAGCTTTAAGATGTGCTTCGTGTTGCATCACAGATTTTTAGGAATAAGTTGAGAATTAACAGCATTGTTTTCCTGACTTTTGGCTTTGATCCTTACACACTAAATTCAACATTCTTTAGTATTCTGAATATTAACATTTGTGCTTTAAAACATAGCATAGAAACACTGATTCTCAGAGATATGATTGTTGTAGTATACTACGTAGCACTGAGAAAAATGTAAATAGATGCCAGTACCTGAAATGTATTTGTATGACAATTATAGCTTTGCACACATAATTCTAGATTACTTTTGTCCAACCAGCAGTCAAAATATTGAAAAAGTAGACTCAGTTTCCGATATATGGAATATAATGTATATCTGGTGTTTTATACCTTTGAATAACATCTTAGTATTAATAAATACTGAAGAAAATACTTTTTGTTTTTAAGATATTTTAAAAGTATGTAAAATAAGCATGAGAATACATAGAATGTATATGAAAAAAGTACATAAAATGTATTTATATATACTGAAGTATGAATTATTTTCATGTATCATAAAGTTTTAATTGTTATAACCATGAGTTTTATTTAACAGGTGTTCCATTTGGTTTAAAAAATACTTCAAGTCTCAGGCCCTTAAATCTACTCCAGGTAAACTTGAAACACTGCTTTTGATTAAAGTTTTTATACTTTGGTTTTTTTTTTAAACAATGTATATTGGTATATATCAGCATTTGAAATTTGAAGGTCTTTTCGGAATCATCTAAGGGTGTGATTATTATTGCCATCTACATGATCAGGTGGATAAGGAAAGAATTGGTATCCTATATACATATCACACTTTCATTGAGGCAAGTAGCCGTACCTAATTAAGAATTAGCCGTTCCAGTGGGGAGAATTGACACCTGCCAAGCAGGATCCTTGCCTACAATAGTGGTAGTAGATATTCTTACAAAATAACTCTTCTCCTAACAGATATTTTATGTGTACATATATGTAATACTGTTTGTTTACAGTAGGTTTTTTGCTGGAATAGATTTTAAAAATAGGTATGTGTTCTTTTCCCAGAGAGTATGATTTCTTAACTAATCTTTCAGTAAATGTTTATTGGGTTATACTGTGTATTAAGTGATGAGGCTTTGCTTTTCTTATATATTTTATCAGTGTCAACGTATTTATAAAGAGAGAGAGAAGACAGAGAATTTAGTGCACATTTTGAACTTAAAATATTCTGGGTCTTATGTCAGGTCCTTTAATTTAGAAAAGGAGTCAGGTATTAAGCTAGTAGTTTGGAAAATGGATGGAATTATCTACAGAGAACTTAAAGGTAGACATGAATATAATGATCTGGAGATAAGCAATGGCAGCGCTGTGGATTATTGGGAAATAACAATAACAGATCAATGAACCTGATATTCAATAATGACAAATCAGAAAATTCATTTAGAGTTAAACTTTTTTCTTATACAGGATGCAAACAGTGTCAGTATTTGCACACTGTAATTGCAGAACAATATATTTGTAATATGGACAAGAGTGCAGATTCATATTGGTTTATTTAGCCTACTTTCCTGCATATTGCTGTTGGAATTTCTCTAAGGAATCAGCCTCAGTGTTAAGAGTAAAAGAAATTCTTTATATCACTGATAAGGAAAAAGGACAAGTTCATTATGTTTTTCTATGTTTATGATCTACTGATTGAGGAAGGAACATTCAACCTGTTGTTATGTCCAAATCTACTTAACAGTGAGCTATGCTGATGTAGATGTTTTGATCCAAGGATGCCTGTTTTGTTTTGGGGTTTTTTTTTGGACTACATAGACATAAGATTTCTATAGCTGGTATTTGCTTAGACTCTCTCTTAAGGATTATACAGTGCTTATAACTTAAACACCCTTGTAGCTTAAAATAGAAAAGTTGTTTTCTGGTACACTTGGAAAACGTTTTAATTTTAATGTAGAGTTTTTTTTGCGTATTTCTTAAAAAGATTTTTTCTTTTATATTATAATACCAAGGATCCCTATACCAGCCAGCCAACTAAAAAAAATTTTTTTTCTCTTTTAATTTGAATTAATTTTGGTTCAGAATGACAGAGCAAGTAATGGTCTCCAAACTAAATATGGGCATCTAATGCACTTTCTTTTCAGCTTCAGAATAGAAATTCATGCATTTCTGTTTGGGGATTTTTGCTTCTGTTTTTGGGCTTTGGTGGGGTTTTTTTGGCAAAGATAAAACAAATTTTGGGAGATGGGTTTTCTTATAGACATTTCTGATTCACATGCTTCATGTGTATACTTCCTAATGCATTTAATGCTCTTTTATATTGACGTATAAGAAGAGCTAAATAGGGCCGAGCCCGTGGTGCACTCGGGAGAGTGCGGCGCTAGGAGCGCAGTAGCACTCCCACCGCGGTGTTCAGATCCTATATAGGGATGACCGGTGCGCTCACAGCTGAGCGCGGCGCAGCCGGTCTCAAAAAGGACAAAAGAAAAAAAAATAGTATGTAAATTTGGAAGCTATTAACTTGAAGCAGAAAGATTTGTATTTGAGAGTATTAACATATTTGGGAGCCAAAAGTAATAGCACTTAAATATTGTTTCTAAATAGATCTTTTTTTAAAGGCAGGCACCTTGTTTTGTTTTTCATTCACCTTGACATACAGTAAATGCTCCGAAAATATTTGTGGAATAAAGAAATTTAAATATTTCATGTAAAAATCATGTGAAATTGGCTAATTAATTCTTGTTTAAATTCTTCATAGCTTCCAGGTGGTTCACTCATTTTTAACACTCTGCAGCAGCAGCAACAGCAGCTCTCTCAGTTTACACCACAACAACCTCAGCAGCCCACAACTTCTAGTCCTCAGCAGCCGGGGGAACAGGTATGGGTTTTCTAGCCTTGCATATGCTTTTATCATAGAATTTGTAACATTTTTTCATATATTTCAAGCCTATTTCAAGTGCATTTATTTAATTTGTTGGAACAAACATTTTCTGTACTGTTTTTCTTTGTTAACAATAGTAGCTATCAGTTATTGGGTGCCTGTTTCCAGTATAACAGCCATACTGAATAGATGGTGTCTCCTCCATCTTGCATAGTAGGAATCATATTCAGATAAATGATTTGGTCATAATGAGTGGCAGAGCCAGGGAAACCCAGATCTTTCGCCCCTATTGCGTGTGTATTTTCTACCTAGTAATCATCCTATTTATAAAATTTTGTTGCTATTGGAATGGAGATGTCCCTATTATAAAGTGTAGGGCAGTAGGAACACAGACAAAACAAAAACTCGAACACTGCCAAACAGAAAGAAATTGAGTAAGTATTGCAATAAATTAAAGTAGAAGGAACTACAAGTTTTTCTGAATCTTGGCTATACTTTTGAATCATCTACAAAACTAAAAATACTGATTACTGGGTCCCACCCCTAAAGTTTCTTTTAGCTCACAATTAAATATATGAAATGTTCACCATTAGATCTTTCGTCCAAGTTTCCCCAGTTGAGCCTTAGTTGGATGAAGCTCATCCTCCAGTAGATTCTTCAGTAAGAGTACATTCAAAACTATTTTTCTTTTTTGAGGAAGCTGGCCAGTAAGGGAATTTGACAAAACTTTTTTTCTTTATTATCAACCCATTAGGGATTACTTGGCAGGGAATAAAAATCCTTGATTTGCTTTCTTTCTTTCTTTTTTTTTTTTTGTGACCGGCAAGGGGATAGCAACCCTTGGCTTGGTGTCGCTCGCACCACGCTCAGCCAGTGAGCGCACCGGCCATCCCTATATAGGATCCGAACCCGCGGCGGGAGCGCCATTGTGCTTCCAGTGCCGCACTCTCCCGAGTGAGCCACGGGGTTGGCCCCATTTTTTTTTTTTTTTTTTGTGACCGGCAAGGGGATAGCAACCCTTGGCTTGGTGTCGCTCGCACCACGCTCAGCCAGTGAGCGCACCGGCCATCCCTATATAGGATCCGAACCCGCGGCGGGAGCGCCATTGTGCTTCCAGTGCCGCACTCTCCCGAGTGAGCCACGGGGTTGGCCCCATTTTTTTTTTTTTATTGTGGTAAAATACACTCATGAAATTTATCATCTTAACCATTTTTAAATGTGCAGTTCAGTAGTATTAAGTATATTCACATTGTTGCGTAACAAATTCCTAGAACTTATTCACCTTGTAAAACTAAAACTTCATACCCAGTAAATAACTTCCGATTTCCTCTTCCCCTTGGCTACTGGCAAACATTCTACCTTGTGTTTTTGAGTTGACTACTCTAGATATCTCATATAAGTGAAATTGTACAGTATTTGTTTTTTGTGTGTGTCTGGCTTATTTCACTTAGATGAAGTCTTCACTTTTCATCCATGCTGTAGTATGTGTCAGAAACTCCTTGCTTCTTAAGGCTCAATAATACTTATATATACCACATTTTGTTTATTATTCATTCATCTATCAATGGACACTTGAGTTGCTTCCACCTTATGGCCATTGTGAATAATGCTGCTGTGAACAAGGATGTACAATTATCTGTTCAAGACCCTGCTTTCAGTTCTTTTGGATATATACTCAGAAGTTGGATTGTTGGATCATATGACAATTCTACAGTATTTTTAATTTTTTGAGAAGCACCATACTGTTTCATAACAGCTGCACCATTTTACATTCTCCCCAACAGTGCATAAGAGTTCCAGTTTTTCTGAATCCTTGCCAACACTTATTTTCTGTTTTTTGTTGTTGTTTTTATAGCATCCGTCCTAATGGGTGTGAGGTAATTATCTGATTGTGGTTTTGATTTGCATTTCCCTAATGGTCAGTGATGTGAAGCATCTTTTCATATGCTTTTTGGCTGTTTCTATATATCTTCTTTGGAGAAACACCTACTCCCGTCTTTTGCCCATTTAATTGTGGTGGTTGGTTTTTTGTGTTGAGTTGTGGGAGTTCTTTATTCATTCTTTATATACATATATATCAGATGTATGATTTGCAAATATTTTCTCCCATTTCATGGCTTGCCTCTTTCACTCTTGATTGTATCCTTTGCACAGAAGTTTTTAATTTTGATGTCCATTTTACCTATTTCTACCTTTGTTGCCTGTACTTTCGGTGTCATATTAAAGAAATCATTGCTGAATCCAGTGTCATGAAGCTTTTTTCCCTATGTTTTCTTCTAAGAGTTCTATAGTTTTAGGTCTCTCTCCTTAAATTTATTGAAAATGCTTTCCATTGTTGACTTGCTTTGTATGTTTTTGAGAAGTCTCATGCCGGTCTGATTATCTTGCTTTTACAAGTTTGTTTATTTAACCATTTTGCCTAGAGGCCCTGAAGGTTTCGTTTTTATCTTTAAAGTCTAATATTTCTAATATTTTCACTTGGATATGTGTCAGAATTGATCGTTCCATATCTTTCCTGTGACCCCTTTTAATTTGAGATTCAGGTCATCTTTATTTCTGGGACATTTTCTTGGATTATAGCTTCCTAGTTTGCTTCCTTTTTTTTTTTTTTTTTTTTTTTTTTTTTTTTTTTCCCTAGCTGGCTGATACAGGGATCCAAACCCTTGACCTTGGTGTTATCAGCACTGCACTCTTACCACCTGAGCTAACCTGCCAGCCCAATGGGTTTTTTTGTATTCTGGGGTTTTTTTTGTTGTTGTTAGTTTTCTAGTTTCCTAAAGTGGAGGGTTAGATGAGTAGATTGAGGCCATTCTTTTCTGAAATAAACATTTCATGTTATACATATCTTTCTCGGTCCTATTGAAGCTTCATTCTTCAAATTTTGGTATGTTGTGACTTCATTTTCATTCCATAGAATTTTTTAATGTCTCTTGTAAGTTCCTCTTAAATGAATAATTTAGAAGTGTGTTGTTCTATTTCCAAATATTTGAGAGTTTTTCAGGTAACTTTCTGGAATTCTAGTTTAAATCTGCCATGGTCTGAAACCATATTTTCAGTTCTTAAGTTTATTGAGGTTTGTTTTATGATCTAGAATATGTTCTGTCTTGGTGAATATTCCACATACACTTTAAAAAATGTGTATTCTGCTATTAGGAGTGTTCTATATCAGCTAGATCACGTTTGATGGTGTTGTTCAGGTCTTCTACATCCATACTGATTTTCTTTATACACGTTCTATCAGTCATTGAGAGAAGTGTAAGGTCTCCAACCAAAACCGGAAAGTTCTGTTTGTCTTTTTAGTTCTGTCGGTGTTGCTGAAGATTATTTTTTTGAAGCTGTATTGTTAGATGTATAAACATTTAGGATTTTTATGTCCTTCATCAGTTCACCCATCATTAATAAATGACCTTCTTTATCTCTAGTAATATTAATATTTTTTGCTTCTTTCTTTTGGTTGATGTTAGCATAGTATGTCTTTTTTTATCCTTTTAGTTTTAACCTGTCTTTTTATTTCTTATTACTTGTATTTCATATTCTATGTGTATTCTCATCATTCCAGCTTGTTTATGAATATTTAATTCCACTTATTGTGTTGTCTTATAATCTTCTTTAGCTTTATGGGGTGTTTTTAGGAGGAAATTTGTATCAGCTATTTTTTTTTTTGCATTTGGGGGTTTTTCTTTTGTCTTATAATTGTGGTCTGCTTTTTTCCATTCATTTCATGTACTGGGTTCCAAGTTGAAGAGTGTCTTGTTCTGTCAGTCAGGCTCTGTACTCTTCTGTGCAATTTCTTTCTACATCCAAGGAGGTCCTCTCAAGATAAATGTAACTTTTAAAATGTTTGGCTTATATACTAAAATGTTATCTCAGATACTATTTTAGGTGGTAGTAAAGGATGTCTTCTGCAGAGCAAAAGTTTTTAATTTTGATGAAGTCCAAGTTAACAATTTCTTTTCTTTATGGAATCTGAATCTGCTTTATCTAGTCCTAGGTCCCAGAGATTTTTCTCCTGTTTTCTTCTAACAGTTTTATTGATTTTTTCTTTTTTTTCTTCTTTCTTTCTGCTGAAAACATGGTTGGTCATTCAGCAGTTTTACAGTTTTCTATTTTAAATCTGTGATCCATTTTCAGTCAATTTTTGTATAAGTTCTGCAGCTTAGGTCCAGGTGGGTTTGTTTTTTTTTTTTTTCATTTGCTATGAATATTTAATTGTTCCCACATCATTTTTTGAAAAAGCTGTCCTTCCTTATCTGAATTACTTTTGCACCTTTGTGAAAAGTCAGTTGGCTATGTTTGTGCAGGTCTGTTTCTGAGTTCTCTGTTCTGTTTCATTGATCCATGTATCTGTCCCTCAGCCAATACCACCCTGAGTTGATCACTGTAGACTATGTAGTAAGTCCTAAAATTGGGCAGAGATTCCTCCCACTTTATTTTTTTCAAAATTATTGTAGCTAGTCTAGATTCTTTTCCTTTCCATATGAATTTTAGAATTATCTTGTCTATACTGTATCTACAAAAAATATTCCTGGGATTTTTAAAGAAATTGAGTTAGACATATTGATCAGTTTGGGAGAGAATTGCCATTTTTATTATGTTAGTCTTCCAGTCCATGAACATAGTATATGTCTGTTGAGGCCAAAATCAACATTTTGTGGTTTTCGGTGTATGAGTCTTATGTATGTTTTGTTATGTTTATATGCGAGGTTTTTTTTCTTTTTTTTTTGTTTTAGCAATTATAAATGGTTTTAATTTTAAATTGGTTTCCACGTGTTCATTTTTACAATATAGTGTGGATTTTTGTATGTTGGTCTTGAATTCTGCAATCCTACTGAACTTAATAATTCTAGATACTTTTTTGTAAATTCCTTGGGATTATCTACATAGACATTTGCAAATGAGGACATTTTTCCTTTATGCCTTTTATTTCCTTTTTCTGACTTACTCTGCTGACAAGAAGTTTCAGTAGTGTGTTGTAGAAGGTGTTTTAAGCTTTAAAAAATTGTTTTCTTTATTATTCTTTTTTTGGTTTCAGCCTTGGTGCTACCAACCCTGCACTGTAACCAAGTTAGCTAACCAGCCAGCCCCTAAAAATTTGTTTTAATGAAGCTTTATAAAAGCCTTAGGGAGTAATAATGTAGCATTAAATAATAAATATAGATTCAATCCTGAAAAATAGTTTTTTCAAAATACCATTAATTTATTCTTGCTAATTTTAAATACCTTTGAAGTCTTTTCTTTATGTTATTCTTTTTATAAGACCTAGTCTAATGTTGATTTTTTTTTTTTCTCGTACAGGAAAAAATATTCTTTTCACCAACTCAAAATTGTTTTTTCTTTTTGTATAAGTCATTTGTTACTTTTTTATTCAGGTTTCTGAACAAGGTTCAACCAGTCAAGAACAGGCCTTATCTGCTCAACAAGCTGCTATTATTAATCTTACTGGAGTAGGAAGTTTTATGCAGTCACAGGCAGCTGGTAGGTATCTTCATAACCTCATGTGCTGAATTTACTAAAAGTATGTAATCTATTTGAGATCTGACTATTTAAATTATATTGTTTTCCTTCCTTTGCAAGCAGTAATCAGTAGAAAGTAAAGTTGTATTTAATGTGTGAACTATTAAATTAACTGATGGCTGAGATGTTTTCATTAATTTGACAGTTGATTAATTAAAAGAGCTTTTTCTTACATTTGCAGCAGTTGTGTTTTCCTCATGTTGCAATTTACTGGCAAAATTTTAGTTATCCAGCTTACTAGGAAGCTACCAAAGCTGTTTTCAATGATTGCCAATAGTTACCTTAAATAATATTAACTCTTCAGTTTTCCTGGGTTATTGAAACTGCATTTTTCTAAATTGCATAATCCTTTGTCTCATTCTGGTAGCTTGTAGTTGCATGACTTAAATCTTAATGGCCAGTAGCTTAACTTCTGCAAGCCATTTTTATCATTTGTTAAAAACCAGATCGAACTAAATAACTGCTCATCAGTAAATTGTGAACCAAACATTTACGTTTAATGAATATTATCTTGTCAATAGAAGACAATTATTGTAATTTCACATTTAATTAAAATCAGTAAGCCACATAAGAAAGCTGTGATAGAGTTTGAGGACTGAATGAGTGAACATGTCAACATTTTGAGTTATCACTGTGAGCTTGCTGTGATGGCTTTAGATTCCTATACGGCTCCCAGTGTCTGAATTTAGAAATCCTTTAGGATAGAATAATCAAAGTCTTTATTTTGGAAATAAGTGATTTTTACATTTAGAGCTAGTGAATTCCCAAATGGAAATTTATTATATACCTTTACCACACAAGTTATAAATTACCTAAAATAGCTGTAGTGTAACTTAGTGGAAAGAACTCTAGGCTGAAAAATGATGAAAATGTTCCTAGCCCCAGACTTGCCAATAATTACACTTTGAGTCACTCAAACCCTGTAGGCCTTCAACTTCCATCATCTGTACAGTGATAAGGATGAATTGATTACTATGGTCTTACTTGGCTCAAAAAGTAGTAATGCAGTCTCAGTTCACTATTCTTCTTAATAGAATAGTCTGATAATCAGTCCAACACCTTTTGTTTAAAGTGCTTGTCTGTGTACCAGTTTTGTCATTATGAGTTTGGATTTCTTCCATCCCCCTTTTCCTACTTTGTTGGTTATGTTTTAAAAATAATGTACTGTTTTATATTGTACAAGAAAGTCTTCTAAACAAAGTAGCACCAGTATCAAATTTCACTGAGATACAAAAGGGATATATAGTGCTTTGGCACACGTGCACTCCCTTCCCTTACCATGTCCAGAAATTTCCGTACTCAGTGGTCCCTCAACTAACAGGAGACTGTACTAAATTTATTCTGAAATGTCTGTGATTTGATACTTAAGATTAATCATACTGCTAACTTTTCTATTATTTCATTTTCTGTGTTGTCCTTTTCTAACCCTGGTAGCCTTCAACTTTTTGACTGGCCTGCTTTCCCCTTCTCCTCTCTGTAGTGTTGTCTCAGCTTGGCTCTGCCGAGAACAGACCTGAGCAAAGCCTTCCTCAGCAGAGATTCCAGCTCTCCTCTGCCTTTCAACAGCAGCAGCAACAGATACAAGTAATCCAGCAACTTCACTCTGATTACATTTTTAAAGATATTCAGCTCCAAAAGTACCTCAAGATACCTTGCTTTAGTTTTATTTAACTGTCTTTTAAGACTATACAGTAATTGGTAAAAATTTAGCAAATTTTAAAAGCCTGACATTTTAGCCAGTCAACTTGGAGCGCTGAATATATTTTGTACATTTAAGCCCTACTCTCTTACTAATCAAAATCTTTCATGAAGTGCCGGTGGCACATTAACATATATTTTTCTAGTTTTCAGTATATTTTGAAACAGATAATTGTAAGTGCCAATTGTTAACTTTCTAATATTGTATTGTAGGAAAGTGTTCCTATTAGCAAATGTCATACCTGTTTATTTAGAAAAATGTCATACAATTATCTTAGGAAGGAAAGTCAGCATATTATAGTTGATTAACTTGATATTCAGGGTGGTTTTATATTGCTATGAACTATCATACAACAAAATGGTAACTGAAGTTGCTGAGTTACTACAGTACAGACTGGCAGGGCAAAGTAACAGAAATAATTTTGAAGTTTGCCAAGAATCATTTTTAAAGCCCTCAGCAGGCTTCTGTGCCACTGGTGCTGTTTGATTGTGCATTGTCTCAATGTGGTATAGTCCCTTTTTGTTATCTTGGTGCTTTCTCCCTTTCAGTTTTGTTTTCATCACGCTCAGGAAAAGCACCTTTCCACACCTTCCTGCATCAGTCATAACCTGATTTCTTTTCCCTTCCCTTTTGCAGCAGTTGCGATTCTTGCAGCATCAAATGGCTATGGCAGCAGCAGCAGCACAAACAGCTCAGCTACATCGTCATCGGCATACAGGCAGCCAGTCAAAAAGTAAAATGAAGAGAGGCACGCCAGCCACTCCAAAATTCTAAGTCTTACATTATTATTTTTTTTTTGTCTTTTTTTTTTTAAAAACACAAGAACAATGAATCAGGATTGAATTTCTACTTCATTTTTGTTTTCTAATGTCAGTATTTTACATTGCTAGATGTACAAAACTTTATACAGAAGCACAACCCTGTGATTTTTAAATAAAAACAGGGAAATGTTTAACAAATTAGGTATGGTTTACCCAAGTCATTGCTTTTTAAAAATGGTTTCTCTGCACATAATATATATGAAAGTGACCTAAAAAATACTAGAAACATCTTTCAGAAGAATGTAGTTTGATATTTATTTAGTATAAAAGGTTTGTGCACAGTGTAACAAATACAGTTTTTACAAGTCTGTTTTGAAAATGTGGCTGTTTATTTGGGTTTCATACTCTTAATTACTTCATCCATCAGTTTTTTTACTTCTTTGTGTCTTGTAACTGCTCGACTCATACAGTCCTGAAGTTTAGCTCCAGTCAGCCCACTTCCTCCTGAAAAATTATTGTGCCAATAATCTTTCAGATAAACTTTGTAAAACATTAATGTCATGTTAAAAAAAAAAAAGATAATGTAAATCAGTGGTATGATCTCAATATTTGCAAGTTATGTTTTAACAACATCTCCAAGTGATTCTGATGTATCCCATAATTTTAAGAACCACTGACTGTATACAATGTAAAAATGTAAGGAATTTGAGGTAGTAAAGAAACTACAATAAACTTATATTAGGTAAACAATAAAACATCCCACATTCCATTTGGCCCTCCCTCAGATAAAGCTCACACTGGGTTTTCATCTACATATGCTTAGGAAAGAAGTGGTAGAAACATGCCTGGTTTGTGAAGACAACAGAGCTTGCCTTCGTCATCCATTACGATTGTTAAGGTTCCTGTTGCCAAATGTTCCTCCTCTCCAGCAGGGTCAACTATGAGCAAAGTGCTATTAAAAAAAAAAAAAAGTCTAAGTTACCAATCCATGAACAAATTTTACTTTAAAAGAATACTAAACATAACTACTTTTATTTTATCTTAAGTATCGATACAAGATATGAGAGCCATAGAGAACTGGTAGGAAACCAGAAAAGTTAATAGCAACCTAAAATCTAATACTTATAAGAAACTTTGCTTTTCAATTTGTGAATATACAATCCTTGGCAAATATTGAAGACAGCTTCAGGTAAATATTTAGTAAAAGAATGAAAAATTAACATTACATAGGAATAAGTAAGCCAAGGTAAGGTAAGCACTGAATTGATCATCTAAATCAGGATGCTTATGGAAGTGGAAGGGTTGACTAGAAATAATTGTGCAGAGACAACAGATGTAAACTCATATGTCCAGGGCAAACAAGGATATATGGTCATCTTAAGCACTTCCTGAAGAGTTAAAAGCTAAATAACAATATGTTACCTTAAATATAGACTTTTTATACATTTGATTAACTTACTCATCAAACACAGCAAAGGAAGTTGCAACTGGATGAGTTCTAACATTCAAATAACTTTTCTTCTTTAAATTAACTTCTGCTAATGCAGTTTCTTCGTTTATAGTAACTTCAGGTAACTGTACTGGAAAAAGGGAAATATGTAAAGTAAGTCTCTCACTCTAGTGTAAGTAAAAAAGTTTGTGTGCTTTCACTTTTCCCTGTATTTAACTCATCCAGAACATTCTCTTTAAAAAAGTAACTTAGAACAATTTAGTGGATATAAACATTGTTTTTCAGAACATCTGACATTCCTGCCTCGCACTTCATTTTTTAAGAAAAGTTTAAGAAATCAAAATTAAGAATTAATAGTTAACGTGTGTAGCCACTTTCTATATGCCAGGTACTGCTTTAAGCATTTTTCACATTTTCATTGTATTAATTCATTTAATTATCAACACTCTTACAAAGTTAGTACAAAGTTAGTACTTACAAAGTTAGCACAGAGTCGTAGAACCAGGACTCAAAAGTTAAGTCCTTGCTTTAACAACTATACTCTGTATTACTGCTATTCTAACTGTATTTTCTACCTCCAGTTAGCTAGGTGTATTGTTAATTCAGCAATGCAGTGATAAGGAATATGCACAAACCACTGAAATCCATAACAAATCAGTCTACCCACATTCCTTACTAAGAAACTTTACTATTAAAAGTGAATACAGTCTTACAGTAAAAATAAAAGAATCCATTCTACTCCTTTTGGCAACATCACATAAAAACTTAGAGGACCGGGACCAGCCCGTGGCTCACTCGGGAGAGTGTGGTGCTGATAACACCAAGGCCACGGGTTCAGACCCCATATAGGGATGGCCGGTTAGCTCGATGGGTGAGCATGGTGCTGACAACGCCAGTCAAGGGTTAAGATCCCCTTACGGTCATCTTTTAAAAAAAAAAAAAACTAAAAAACTTAGAGGACTGTAACTCAAATAGATGGGTACAGTCAAGGTGATACTCTAAAAGGCATTCAGTTGGAGAAAAAACATCCAAATATATTTGGAAAGTCATGTCAGGATTGTGTTCATGTTGGTATTATGTTCATTAATATGAATGACAGCTAAATCTTAAAATTTTTTTTAAAGTTTACTGAGCAAATGTGCATTAAAAGTGTCACAAAACTAAAAACAGTCTGACCCATTAGTAGGAACACTGCCTTTTATTAGGGTGGCTTACCGTTTTTTAAAGCCGCTAACAAAGCAAATGTGCAGGCATCCAAAATGTTTCCATCATAGTCTAAGCAAATAAGATCACAGTATAGAACCCAAGCAAGCTAAAACAGATTTAACACAAAAAAAAATTAGAGCCTTCCAATGGGTAGAACATGCTATTTGCTTAGACTTAACCACAAAACCCTTGGTTAGACAAGATATGCTTCAAGGCTCAAAAACTTTAAACAATGCTTTACCATTACTAAGTAGAAAACAAAAAAACTGGACAAGTTTAGTGAAAGCATGCTTTTAACTACAAAGCTCACAAGTGGTGAACATTTCCATTGCCCTCAACAAGGAGCCTATAGATGTAGAAGGAATAGCCATTCTTGTTGCTAGGTTAGCAAAAGAGGAAAATGTTTTGGAAAGCCCTAGCTGAAAACTCAAATGTACTTTCACACAGAAACCTTGGTACATAAAATATTTAGGTTCTACAGTGCTAATAAAACAGTATATAATCTAATAGGAAAAGCTTCTCTAGGTTCTAATCAACAGTTCTAAGTTTTTAAACAGACTTTTAGAATCTACCATGTGGATTCACTTTACACGTTATTAGCACAATCAGAAATTAATCTCTATAAGGACTAAAAAATAACTCTCAAAGCTAAGGGAGAAAAAATTACCTTGGCTTAAAAGGTAGACCCAGACAGGTAATAAGTTAGTCAAACTTGTTTGCTTTTTATGAACTACATAGTTTAGATAATTACAGAATAAGACTGATTTTTTTTTTAACTAAATTCCACCTTAAATCTGTAAGACATCCATATTTAAGGCTACTGTGGTTGTTTTAATTTCCCTGTTCACTTTTCCCCACAAAAAACACTTCAGAATTAATAAAAGCTCATAGCTTCTCTATTCCTCTTACCTTTCCTGGAGAAATGCATAAGTCCTCTTTCTGAATTATCTGTGAACTTGATTTAATGACAAAGCACAGTAAATGAAATGTCAAAAACTCTCTTAAAATGAATGATGTTAAAATTTTATCACGATGGTCTTACTTTTCAATGACATCAGCAATGAACTGGCTGGCCACTTGGGCCTCTTCTCCAGGAGGTCCAGACCGAAATCTTGATGAACACAGGGGTGGTAGATCCACATTAGGAACTGAAAGAAACACTCTGACAGCTATGAACTAATAAACTTCACCTTCTTGTTTACTGAAGGGATAAAGGTATTATCAGTCCACAAAGGCGACTGTGGCCATGGACAGGCTTTTCCAAATGGAAAGCACTGTAATATTACAATTACATTCTTTTTGGTCTTTGTAAGACTCCCAGACTGAGACAAAATGAAATTTATATTCTTCTGACTTTATTCTCAATATTTTAAAATCTATATTAGGCCTCAGTCCTCCTAAATCCTTCACAAAAGTTTTCCTGATTTCTTTCAAAAATACCTCAATATCTAACAGAAGATAGTCCCTCTGCTCATGCCCAGTGGTTTTCTGCATTTTAAAAATGTTGGCTTTGGGGCCGGCCCGGTGGCGCACTGCTACAGTGCGCCGCTTGGGAGCGTGGCGGCGCTCCCGCCGAGGATTCGGATCCCACATACAGACCGGTTCCCGCTCACTGGCTGAGCGAGGTGCGGGCGCAACACCGAAGATTGCGATCCCGTTGCTGGTCCCGGTCCGGTACGGGTGCGACACTGAGGGTTGCGATCCGTTGCCGGACACGAAAAAAGACAAAAAGAAAAAAAATAAATAAAAATGTTGGCTTAGGGTCGGCCTGTGGCTCACTCAGGAGAGTGCAGTGCTGATAACACCAAAGCCATGGGTTCGGATCCCTATATAGGGATGGCCGGTTCGCTCACTTGGGAGAGCATGGTGCTGACAACACCAAGTCAAGGGTTAAGATCCCCTTACCGGTCATCTTTAAAAAAAATATGTTGGTTCCTACCATAAAGAACAGATGGCCCAAGACAAGGAAAAAAATTGCAGTGGTATAAAACAAAGAATCTTTATGGAAACAGAAATGTTTGCAGTGACAGCACTTTGATTTAAAAAGTTCTACTTTCTTGGTTGATGATATCTAAATGTATAAACAAAAATCAACCAAGTTTCATAAAGGTTCAAATTATGAAATTCCATATCTTGCTATTAGTCTATCATCTGCTAACATGTATACAGAAAACATGGGGAATGTGCTTCATACCTGTATATTTATTTCTGAATGTTAGGAATAATTCTCTTCTTTATTTCAATTCAACTACTAGGTCTTAACTACAATTAATAGTATTCAATGTGTTAGAGCATGTGTATGAAAATTACAAAATCATTTAACTTACCAACAAATCCTTTATCAGGGGCATCTGCTGGTGGTGCTGCAAATTCCTATAGAAACAAATGTTTCCTAGTGAAAGAAGCTACTAAAAATTTGTGAAGACATTTTACCAATCAGTTATGTAAGGCTCTGTGAAAGACCATCTTAGCTAAATAACTAAGCTAAATAACTACATCCTTTGCTTGGAAAATTGTGTCAAGGACTCCAAGGACACTGGCACTGATACAATAGCTGCAAGGTAAGAAGGCAGTATAATATTATGGACTACATTGTAGTGCTATTCATCAAGATTACCTGGGGATATTTTTAAAAATATTAATTGGGTTTCTGTCCCACCATCCCTTCTACTGATTCAGTAGCTAAGAATCTGAATTTAATCCCAAGTGAAACTGACATAGCCAGATTTAGGAACTGCTGGTTTAGTGGTCAAGAGCAAAGGCTCTACAGTCACTATGCCAGTTCAAATATCAGACCCACACTTACTGGCTGAGACACTGGGCAAGTTATTTAACCTTTATCTGACCTTCAACTTCCTCATGTGTCAAATGGGAGGAATAATAATAGTGGCTACTTCTAGGGACTGTTAATGAGGGGCAAATAAGTTAATGCCATGAAGTCTCTAGCATAAAACCTAGCAAGGAATAAGAGCTCAAATCTTACTGCTAGACATCACCCCAGCTTTACCGAGGAAGAATCTGAACATAAGTAACACAGGGTGTGGTGTAGTCAAAAAAGCATAAGGTTTGGAGTCAGATTTGTGTCTAAATTCTACTTATGAGCCTTGGGTACCTGGACAAGATAATTAACCTCATCATAAAACAGGAGACAGAAAAAACATGACTGTTTTGAAGATTTAGTTTGAATAATTTTGTAAAGCACCTAGTAAGGTGCCTGGAACATAACAGGTCCTCAGTAAATAGCAGCTATTATTCCCTCAAACTTTTCTTTTGAATAATTTCAATTTTCTACACCTTATTGGCTAAAAGGATGTCACCAAAAATCTTTTAATTTCTCAAATGATATAACCAAACTTCTTAAAAATTAAGGGTGATGATGATTTAAAAAGTTATTTCATTTCAGTACATTTGACAAATGTTCATAAATCATAATTAAAGAGTCATTAAAACTTGGCTGTTATTATCTAATATCATAGGTAAAAGCTCTTGAGAAATTAAAACAAATACTAAAAAACTGACACCTGACTGCCTAATCAATCTAATTACAATCTAATGCATATATGAAGCTAATGTGGTAACTCAGATCTCAATAGGACTTATATTAAACCTACCGCTTTAACTCCACAAATTACTGTAGTATTTCCCAACTTCACTAAAGCAGAACCATCTGCAGTACTAATTGAACCTGAAAAGATAAGTATTTAAGCAAAATGACAAGTCCATAAAAGGAAAACAGCTATAAAATTATCTACATAATAATATGTTTTAGTTTGCTACACATCAATTGCTTATGAAAATTCCAAGTTCAAGTCATTGATTTTAAAATGGTAAAACTATTTAAAATTATTATTTTTAGAATTATTCATCTGTCTTTGAATTTGAGTTAATCATTTTTCATTCAACCACAGGGCTGTTATACAGATAAAAATCTCCTGACAAAATCATCAAATTCCTGAGAAAAATTTGGTAAAATTTAGCTGAAAAATTGTGTAAGTGGTTCAGAGACTAAAACTTGGGAAAGTCAAGTTGAAACTGGGAAATATATCCTCACCTATGTTGACAGTTGTAGGTCTGAATTCGCCAAGTTCTCTTCCATCAGGACGGCAGTTCTCTTTCTAAATAAATGTTTGTTTATATGAAAACAGATTACATCTACACATATATTTTACACACACTTGGGGAAACTTAAAGTAATTTATACGAATTCAACCTTGTTAATTCAAATGAATTCATTTAAATTACTTGAAATTTGTTTTTGAAAGAAGCAAATGATATTGTTATCAAAAGGAATAATATGGGGCAGACCCCCGTGGCTCACTCGGGAGAGTGACGTGCTGGGAGTGCCAGGCAGCTCCCGCCGCGGGTTCGGATCCTATATAGGGACGGCCGGTGCGCTCACTGGCTGAGCGCAGTGCGGGAGACACCAAGCCACGGGTTGCGATCCCCTTACCGGTCACAAAAAAGAAAAAAAAAGGAATAATATGTACATAACCACCTTTACTCACCAGAAATCTCCTGTAATACTCCAGTGGTTCCACGGTTCTGAAATACATATTAAAAATATATCTGAGGTAAGTGAATGAATCTTACAAATCCAGAAACTGGCAAAGATGTTAAGAGTGTAGTAATGTAGCATAAATCTCCAAAATTTGTAACAGAGTTTCGTTCATGAATTCTGATGTTTGTGTTGACACTTATAAGCAATCATAAAAAGTAGATTCCCTTGCAGTAGCAATCACATTCAATTGCTATCCTTAACTCTTGACGACCAATTAGAGGACTGTAGTCCAAAGCTCACTGACATCTTTGAAAGAGGATTAATCCAGATCATGTCATTCTTGCTCTGAAGCAGGGATTCTTAACCTAGTGATGATGAAAAAAATTACATCTTTATTTTCACTGTAACTGAAATTTAGCATATTCCTCAATTATGACTGTAGGCAGTAAGCCATTATAATATTTAGCAGTACCTGCAACTTTAACAACCACAGAAACATAAATGTTTTTGTTTTTACGTTCAGGCTCATTGTTACTTTGAAATTCCAAGAGTTAACAGTACTACCCTTACCACTAGATTAAGAAAGTTAATTTTAAAACAAGTATATGAGTAATATTTTTACTAATCTTGAATTCGGAGTCTGTACACATAGATAACTATTTCGACATAATTGGTTTCCTTTGGAATCCTATTTATCCACTTAATAACTTTACCCTAATAAAGTCCATAGGCTTCACGAGAAAGGCACCAAAAAAGGCTTTAAGCCTTCCGAACGAGGCGCAATCGTTTTAGAAATAAAGTACGCCAGAGGGAAAGCAGGGCGGCTTTTGCTTCTAAGGCAACAATCTTCAAAAGATTACAACTGTATCTCCTGAGACTGCACGTTCACTACACAGCAAGCTCACGAGGGTTCGCACTGGGTACAGAACCCTTACACACAGTCCCTTCGTCGCCCGTGTCACTGCTCGGAAGAAGCCCCTTTCCTTTCACTACGACCACCTCCAGGTCCTCCCGTCCGTCGCCAGCCTCGGCGGGCAAGAAAAGTGGGACCCTGGCGGACTCGGCCTCTACGTAAGAAAATCCCAACCAAGGTTTAAAGGAAGCCGCCATCTGCCAGTGTACACAACTCAACCCACCGCCGCCAACACTCACTTGAACCCAGCCGCCATCTTCCCGCCCGCGCGCCTGCGCCTGCGCCGCACTTTCCACACGGACGGCCAGGACCCGGTCCTGATTCGGGAGACGCCGAAGGAGGGGAGGCGGCTGGGGTGGTCCCCGACCCGCCTGCGCCTCGACCTTCTCTAGCCAGACGCCCCTCTCCGTTTCCTTTCCTTGGGCGTGTTTTGACGAATCTGCTACTAGAAAAGTGACGGGGTGTTCCTCTTTACAAAAAGGCTGGGAGTTCAGAGTAACAGTCTAGGAGAACGCAGGGTTGATACCAAAGAGTCAAGTATTGCGTCTGGAGCATTTCTCAAATGTTTCTGCGTCCTTCTGCCGCCTCTGTGTTAGACTGGGCCCTGGGCTTGCCTCTCCCCAGGTAAAGGGCGCCCTGCTCCAGTGCCTGAGAACCGTGAACTTTCTGTGCGTTCGTTATCCGCACCAGGTTACACGTCGCAGGTCCTGAGTTGCCTCTAAAGGAGCAGCGAGTGTTGTATACTGTGTCGTGGCTCAAGGCTTCTACCTTGCCTCCAGGTGGGGTTGGCAGATAAAATACAAGACACTCAATTAAATTTGAATGTCAGATAAAGAGTAATTTTTTAGTATGAGTATCCCCCAAATAGTGCATGTTATTAGTTGTTACCAGTGGCAGGGGGAGCAGGGAAAGCTTTAAAGATAGATAGTGATGATGGTGGTACAGCAGTGTGAATGTAATTAATGCCGCTATATTGTACCCTTAAAATGGTTAAAATGGCAAATTTTGTTTATCACAATTTTTAATAATTAATGTAATAGAGCAGATACCTTTAAATGGGTGAATTGTATCGCATGTGGATTATATCTCAGTAAGGCTAAATAATTATTAGTTGTTTACCTGAAATTCAGATTAAGTGGACCTCTTGCATCTTGCTAAATCTGGCAACCCTGTTGTAACTAGCGCCTGCTTCCGCACGGACTGAGCGCCCCGCGCGCGACAGCTGCGTGTTCTTCGTCTTGCCGCGCGGGGGCGCTGTGGGCGGCGGGCGCCCGGCCGCGCGGCCTCTCTGGAGGCGGAGGCGGGGCTGGCGGGCGCTTCCGCGTGCGTGTAGGCGCGGGAGAGGACAGGCGGCGGCCCGGCATGGACGATGGCTCCGGTCCTGCTACAGCTGGCAGTGCTGGGCGCAGCGCTGGCGGCCGCAGCCCTGGTACTGGTGAGGACAGGGGTTGGGGTCCGGCGCGGGCCTGGGCTCAGCGTCCTCCTGGAGACTGCGGCTCTCCAGGCGTCCCCATCCTCCACGCTGCCGCTCTTGAACGTGACCCTTTCACCCAGCTTCCCCCAAATTCTTGACCCCGCAATCTCCTCGCCTGCTATTTCACTTCCCTTTTCTTCGGCCTTTTATTTCTCTTTTGGAACCTTATCTTCCTATGTGTCCAGAAGCTTGTGATTTTTTTTTTTCACATTGGGGCGCGCCCTCCCAGCCTTCCATCCTCGCTTCACTCTCGCCTGGTCCCCGGGCCCCCAGCCCACCCGGCCTGTCAGCCTCGACCTCTCCCAGGCTTCCTTCCGGGCCCGCAGCCTCTGCAGTTGTCGCGCCATCCGGGGAGGTCTTGAGCCCCCAGATGGGGTGTGCTCTCTAGACTGTCTCTTTTCCTGATGTGGTTAAGCAAATAGAAAGTGGTGACGGAGCACTGACAGGAGCCATCTGTTTCAGACTGTAATAAATCACTGGATCAGTAAGACCCAGTAGGGACGCAGGGTGAGCAAGAAAGGCCCAGGCCTTGTTATGTTACAATATGTTGGGGGGGGGGGGGTCCTTGTGTCCTTGTGTTCCAGAATTAGACACCCTGAATTTACTGCCTCTAAAGGAGGCAAAATAATATAAATCAAAGTCGGATTTTCTTTGCCATTAATCTGGGGAAACACAAAAACATTGCAAACACTTGCTGATCCGTAAGTGATAGAAAATTTGCCAAGTGAACTCTCTTCCCTATAATTCGGAATGAGCCTGCCATTAAATTATTAAGTGGAGAGGATTTCAGCTTCTTGACATTCAGATTAGCCGCCTAGACTGCACTGCTAGGAAGACCATTCTGCCATCATCCCAGAAGGTTTGTAAATTTTGAAGTTTAGGAACAGTTTGGATAGAGAAATAGCAATGCATCCTGACTTCTTTGTTGCTATATGTCTGGGTGAAAAGGAGTCCTCTCTTTTTCTTAGTAGTATTTTGAGATTTCAGGTTTTTGGTGTGGCAGAGTTTGACACAATCCTAGTTTGGAGAAGCTGCCTTACGTTGAACCTGTTGCACAGATTTAAATGTGTACATTATAAGGTTGTCCTGAGAGTACTTGATCTCACTGTCTTTTATTTTAATTCAAAAATAATTGATTAAACATATTTGTGGGATACAGAGTTGAATATCAATACCTGTGTACAATATGTCACGATCAAATCAGAATAATTAGCATGTTCATTATTACAAAACGTCATTCCTTGTGTCCATTAACACAACCTCCCCCCTTCCCACCTCTAGTAACCACAGTTCTGTACTCTCTTTCTGAAAGTTCAATGCATTATTGTGACCTTCCTTCCTTCCTTCCTTTCCTCCCTCCCTCCCTCCCTCCCTCCTTCCCTCCCTCCCACTTATGAGTGAGGATATGCTGTATTTCTGTGCCTGGTTTGTTTCACATAATTTTTCCCAAGCTCATCCATGTAGCCGCGAATGGCAGAATTTCATTCTTTTTCATGGCTAGGTAGTATTCCACTGCGTGTGTGTGTGTGTGTGTGTGTGTGTGTGTGTGTGAGAGAGAGAGAGAGAGAGAGAGAGAGAGAGAGAGAGAGAGAGAGAGAAGAAGAAGAAGAAGAAGAAGAAGAAGAAGAAGAGAAGAGAAGAGAGAGACACCACATTTTCCTTATCCGGTCCTCTGCCTATGGACATTTAGGTTGATTCCGTATCTTGGCTATTGTAAATAGAGCTGCAGTGAACATGGGAGTGCAGGTGTCCCTTCAACATGATGATTTATATTCCTTTGGGTATACCCAGTAGTGGGAATGGTAGTTCTATTGGTAGGTGTTTAAGAAACCTCCATACTGTTTTCCATAATGGCTGTACTAATTTACAGTCCTGTCAACAGTGTAGAAGTGTTCCCTGTTCTCTGCATCCTCACCAGCATTTGTTATTCTCTGTCTCTTTGAGAATAGCTAGTCTAACTAGGGTGAGATGATATCTCAAAGTGGTTTTGTTTTGCATTTCCCTGATGGTGACTGGTGTTGAGCATCTTTTCTTATATTTGCTGGCCATTTGAATGTCTTCTTTTTAGAACTGTCTATTCAGCTCCTTTGCCCATTTTTTAATTGGATTATTTATTTTTTTATTGTTAGGTTGTTTGAGTTCCTTATATATTCTGGATATTAATCGCTTGTCAGATGTATAGTTTGCAAGTATTTTTTCCTATTGTTTAGGGTGTTTCCACTCTGTTGATTGTTTCCTTTGCTGTGCAGAAGCTTTTGTTTATTTTTCCTTTTGTTGCCTGTGCTTTTGAGGTCTTACTCAAAGACTTACTCATTAAGCCTTTGCCCAGTCCTAAAATCCTGAAGTGTTTCCTGTGTGTTTTCTTCTAAGAGTTCTACAGTTTCAGGTCTTATATTTAAGTCTTTAATCCATTTTGGTTTGATTTTGGTATATGGTGAAATGTATGGGACTAGTTTCATGGATATCCAGTTTTCCCAGCACCATTTATTGAAGAGGCTATACTTTTCCCAGTGTATGTTCTTGGTGCCTTTGTTGAAGATCAGATGGCTATATGCATGTGGATTGATTTCTGCGTTCTCTATTCTATTCGATTGGTCCACATGTCTGTCTGTATGCCAGTACCATGGTGTTTTGGTTATGTCATTTGGAATGAGGTATTGTTAAGCCTCTGGCTTTATTTTATTTTTTGGCTATTCAGGGTCTTTTGTTGTTCTGTATGAATTTTAGGATTTTTTTTTCTATTTCTGTGGGGAATGTCATTGGTATTTTGATGGGGGATTGCATTGAATCTAGGTCACTTTGGGTAATATGTATATTTTCACAATGTTAATTCTTCCAGTCCATGAACATGGAATATCTTTCCATCTTTTGGTGTCCACTTTAATTTCTTTCAGCAGTGTTTAGTAGTTCTCATTGTAGAGATCTTTCACCTTGGTTAAATTTATTCCTAGGTATTTTATTATTTTGGTAGTTATTGTACATATGCTTGCTTGATTTCTTTTTCTGCTTGTTTGTTGTTGGCGTATTAAAAGCCACTTATTTTTGTTTATTGATTTTGTATCCTGCAGCTTTACTAAATTCTTTTATCAGCTCTAGGAGTTTTTTAGTAGAGTTTATTGGTTTTTCTTGGTGTTGCGCCCTCACCTCGCTCAGCCAGTGAGCGGGAACCGGTCTGTATGTGGGATCCGAACCCTCGGCGGGAGCACCGCCGCGCTCCCAAGCGGCGCACTGTAGCAGTGCGCCACCAGGCCGGCCCGAGTTTATTGGTTTTTCTATACATAGAATCATGTTATCTGTGAACAGGGAAAATTTGACTTTGTCTTTTCCAATTTAAATGCCCTTCATTTCTTTCTGTTGCCTGATTGCTCTGGGTAGTATTTCCAATACTATATTAAATAGGAGTGGTGAAAGTGGTCATCCTTATCTGTTTCTGTTCTTAAAGGAAAAGTTTTCAGCTTTTCCCCATTCAGAATGTTGGCAGGGGGGTTGTCATATATGGCTTTTATTGTATCGAGATACTTTTCTTCTATACCTAATTTGTTGAGAGTCTTTATCATGAAGGGATGTTGAATTTTGTTAAATGTTTTTTCTGTGTCTATTGATATAATTATATGGCTTTCGTCCTTGATTTTGTTGATGTGGTGTATCACATTTATTGATTTGTGCAAACAGAACTATCCTTGCATACCTGGGATAAATCCCACTTGATCATGGTGTGTAATCTTTTTGATGTGCTGTTGTATTCTTTTTGCTAAAATTTTGTTGAGGATTTTTGCATCTACATTTATCCAGTATATTGGCCTGTAGCTTTCTTTTTTTGTTTTATCTTTGTCTGACTTAGATATCAGAGTGACGTTGACCTCGTAGTATATGTTGGCAGGAATAACCTGTTTGAACTTTTTTGAATAGTTTGAAAAGTATTGGTATTAGTTCTTCCTTAAAGGTTTGGTACAATTCAGCAGTGAAGTCATCTGGTCCTGGGCTTTTCTTTGTTGGGAGACTTCTGATTAATATGTGAATCTTGTTGCTTGTTACTGGTCTGTTCAGGTTTTCTATTTCTTCTTGATTCAGTCTTGGTAGTTTGTAGGTGTCCAGAAATTTAC